TGACATGTGAATTAGTGTGGATTCGGTAGTTATTGACCGAAATAGGCTTCAAAGCTTCAGACCTACGACTCTATGGTATGACAATAAAGCCGCGTGCAGATAGCTTCCAACCCTGTGTTTCATGAGAGAACAAAACACATTGAGGTTGATTGTCATTTTATTCGGGAAAAGTTGCAGAGTGGAGTGATCATTCCCAATCATATTCGAACCGGTGAACAACTTGCAGACATTTTTACTAAATTTTTGGGTAATGGGAGGATAGAATATATTTGTAACAAGCTGGGCATGATTAATATCTATGCTCCAGCTTGAGGGGGAGTGTTAGTAGTAGAAAAAGGGTAAGGTGATCTTTAGGACCTTTATGACTTATTTTGGTATATGTATTGAACACTATTGGTGAATACATTATACACTTTTCCCTCTCTCTCTTTCTCAGAAGGCATTACTTTCCAGCCCCAAAGAGCAAACCCAAATGACTAATAAATGTCGAAAAATGCTCAGTCAAATAAAAACTGCCAAATATTTCTTTTGCCAATAAACTGTCCCTCTAAATACTCCATCGATCTCCTGACCTTTCAGGGCATCTAACTAATATTACTAATCCCATTGGGTCATGACAATCCCTGTCACGCAGCAAGCAGTTAACCAAGGCAGGAGTCCCCTAGGTGCCCAAGAAAATTGCTTGCTGTCGAGCTAAATTTAGTCTCAAGTAATTTAGCAACCCCCTCAAAGTCAAGATTCAACGATTTACTTATACAATAGAAATCAATAGAAAATTGTGCCATTTTTTAAATTTCAGAAAATGAACTACCTCCTCTCCTCCCAAAAAAGAGGAAAAGAAAAAAAAGAAACTCATCGACCATGATCATTTAGCTGTCACGTTGGATGCTTACTTACTTCAAATCTCCATAGACAAACTACCATTGAAGACATGAATAGGATGAAAAGAAAAACTTAAATTGGCGATAATTAGGTAATGAGCATGCACCGGTGAAGATGTCACATGATAGGTTGACACACCTTACGAGCAGCAAGCTTATACTTCTTAGTCTCCAAATGAGCCAGTCCAGCAGCACACCGTAGTTTTGCAACTGTTGTCGGGTCGAGGGCATCTGGAGTTTGTTCAGCTTTGCTGACATAGCTTGTAACGTGAGTGAACTGACCCATTTCAATGCTCACTAAAATTGCATTCATACACATGCTGATGATATGCTTTGATGTTGTGCAGTAATCACGAGTCCGGACATAACTTTTAAAAGCATCTCCAAGGGCACCATGAGCATAGTGAAAATCACCAAAGTCATTGTAACCCATCCTTATACTTTCCTTGATCAGATTTGTCTGCAAACAAGATACTCCATGTTAGATGCATCATCGGATAGGAGGAAATACTAAAATCATTAAACTTATGCACCTGATGAAGATGAGATGTTAGACACGCAGAAACACAAGTCCATTCATAATGCCATATTAGGATCCTAATGGTAAACAAATAAATGAAGAGGAGTGGTATCCAATTCTAGTTCCTACTTTGAAGCCATAATCATCAGCTGTCCAGCATATTTAGCTTAATAAAACATCATCCCTGAGAAGAGGACTTTGATTTCACACTCGTCTTGTAAACAAAACCATCTCCCAGAACTGACCAACTGCTACACCGTGACACAACCCCAACACCAAGGCTAATCCATAATCATCAATAATAGACTACCAAAACCAATTACAGAGTGAATCACCAATGAGGTCACAACAGAACAATCAAAGTCACATAACGACCGACAAAATCAAAATGGCACAAGCATGTATGCACTACATCGGCCAGCATCACTTTAAGAACAAGTACAGGAAAAAAAAAATTGTAATCCTGGTGCCTACACAACACCACCACTATCAAAAACCATTCACCAGAACAAAGTCCTGCATGAAAACAATATCGTACCACAAAATGGTTCTAAAGTCTGTTTATCAAGCTGACATGGAATGAACGTTCCACGGACATCTTTCCACAATCACAGCAGAAGAATCCATCCAATGGCAAAATCCTGCGCAACATTGGTCTTTCTTCCTTCTCCCAATCCCATCTACAATCTCACAGGTGAACAAACACGCTCCACACAAAATGGTTCTAAAGCTTGTTTATCGAGCCGACATAGTACTAACGTTCCACAAACATCTTTCTACAATCACGGCAGAAGAATCGATCCATTTGCAAAATCCCGCGGAACATTTGTTTTTCTTCCTTCCTCCCAATCCTATCTACGATCGCACACGCTAACAAACACGCTCCTCACAGAGTGCACAACCACCAACCACACGCAAGCAACAAACCGAAACAGCGGAAAAGAAAGAACAAAGCCGACATACTCGATACGAATTGAGCTCGTTCTCCAACTTCTCCTTCTTCTGCTCGGCCCTCCGATCGACGGCCTCGCACCAGGAGGCGTCCGCCCCGTACTTGTCCCCGAGCCTCCCGCCGACCTTCTCCACCACCTCCCTGAACAGCTGCGTGTTCTCCCCCTTCTTAATCTCGTCGTACGCCATCCGCAGCGCCTCCAGCTGCATCGCCTCGTTGTTGCAGCGGTCGGCGACGAACAGGAGCCGCGCGACCTTGGTGCGGTCCCTGTAGAGGCTCGCGTAGGCCTCGACGTCGAGCTGCTCGCCGCTGATGACGGGCTTGCTCCGGGGGGCGGGCGGCTGCTCCCCGCCGTTCTCGTAGATCTCGTCCTCCGGCTCCATCGGCGGAGGCTCGGCGCCGCCGGAACCCGAATGCGAGAGAGAGAGAGAGAGAGAAAGGAAGGGGGATGAGAGAGAATCGGAGGGTGAAGTAGGGCTACGGTTTGGGGGGGATTTTCAGTGCTTCTGTTCTGCGTGCGATTTGAGCTGAGGAGGAAAGAAGAGTGAAGAGACTTTCTCTCTTCTCTCTCTTCCTCTGGTTACGTCGTTCGGGAAATGGAGAGAGGAGAGAGATGAGCTCCGTAAAGCGGGCCATCGACGGGCCCAATCGGCCCAAATTGAACGGGCCTCGCACGGAAAAAGGCCCAACCTGGTAGATCTGGGCCCTGTCGGGGCCCAACCAGGAAATTGATATGCCAGCCTTACCTAGGGGTAAGCGTGGTCCAGGTGGGCGGTTCCCAGTGGGCGATTCCTACCTTAGAACTGGGAATCGCCCACTAAGGACCGGTTCCAAAAAATTGGAATCGGGAACCGCTTGTTGGTTCCATAGATCCACCCGGGAACCGGACCACCTATCCGGTCCAGTTTTTCGGGTGGATGCATGGAACCGGTCCCACTAGCCAAGGATGGAGACGGAAATGGAGAGTCAGAGACGGTGAAATGAGCATCGATTGAGAAGAGTGAGAGTGAGAATAAGCGTGAGACAAAAGCGAGAGAAAGTATTTCTCGGCTCAATGTGAGGCTGTGAACGTCGAGCGAGTTGGATTTAGTTTAGGGATTTAGGATTTTTCTTTTTTTAAAAAAATAAATAATAAATAAAATATATTATATTTATTATTATATTACCGGTCCAGTGGCAAGCGGTTCCACACCTAGAACTGAAAACCGGACCGGTACCCACCGGTTAGCAAAAATTGAAACCGGGAACCGGATTGGTTCCAGTCCAGTTCCAAGCGATCCTGAGTGGTCCGGGCGGTTCCTGTTTCTTTTGCACACCCCTAGTCTTACCCACTGTCCTTTTTAGTTTTTTTATATTTTTTTATAAAATATTTACCCACTTTTTTTCTTGTTGAGTTACCGACTTTTATTTGTCTCGCTTACCATCTCATTAAATTATTACCGACCTTAATCGGAACGATTACCAATTTTTCTTCCGATTAAGTTAAACGAATGGTCTTGTGTTATCGACTTTTATTCGAATTAGTTGCCAGAGTTTGATTATTTGTTTTTTCTTTTCTAAATGATCAACTTCTCTTCACTTTGACCAAAAAATTTCCCTTATTGATATGTTAACTTTATAATAACGATATTAATAATAATCATCATAATTCTATTATTTAGTTCAAATTTTCATTAATGGTTTTTCCTAGAATGAAAGTTATAGCAACTTTTCTAGAAATTTAAAATAATAACTGATAACATTACTATGTTAAATTTACAATAGTGACAATAAGAAAAATAAAAAAAAACATATAAAATACTAACAATACTATTGTTGTTGTTGTTATGGTATATTACAAAAGTTACAATAATACAAACATAATCATCGGTAATCTCTATGACAATGTTATAGTTCTTTTTTGTGATTCTAATAAACACAGCAATCTCGCAGCATCTTTGGCTAAACAAATTAAGCATTCGTAATCACAATTCACAAGAAAGCATCATCAAAAATGTGTCGTCAAATGCACGTGCTTCAAAGCAGCCCAACAACAACTGTATCAAATAGACTCTAAGTGGTAATTTAATTGTAGAAAAGTTAGTGAATCGCGCCAATTTTGATTGATAACAAAATTATAAATGTAAGGGATTACTAATCAATGTTAATAAAAATGGGTAACTCAAGGTAAACTAAAAAACAGTTTAACGTTACACAACCTAGGATTGACCCAGCGGCAAAAGTGTCGTCATGCTTTTTGGCTCAGATTCTGATGGTTGTGGGTGCAATTCGTATTTTGGGAAACTCAAATTTAAGTGGAGGCCGCACAAGTCCAAGTAGTCGGGTAATTATGGCCATACCTCTCGTTTATAACAAAATTAATTGAAAGTCGGTAAGTAATTCAAAGAGAGTTGTTAACCCTGCACAAGTGACAATTTAATCTGATAAAATTTGGGAAGTTATGCAAATAAAAGTTAGTAAATTAGTACAAAATTGCTAATTTACAAATTATAAAAAGAAATCTCTAATTTCTTGGTAAGTGTTGAAAAGTTACCAAGAAGTTATTTGGTAAAAAGCCACCGATCATTTTTTTTAATTTTTTACCACGATTATTTATACTTCCCAACCCTTCTTAAAATATATTAATACGGGGGAAAAAATCCACATCTTTAGCCTGGGAACATAAATAGCAGTCATTGACACATTCTTTTGACACGTCCCTTTACATCAACCGTTACTTCTCCGAGTTTTGATTCACCAAACGCCATTTCACTTCATTTGTATACTCCAAACAGATAAAAGCTGTCATATCTCTTTGCCAATGCTCAGTTTTTCAGGACCCTTGCGTCTTACACCTTGAACACCACGAAATTTCCGGAAGGCGCGACACAAAGACGACAAAAACCAATTTCTATCGAGATTATTCACACGAAAGAAGCCGGAAATTTATCGGTGAAAAGAATTAGGAGTGGACAGGGCCAAGAGGAGGAACTCCTGCGAAGAGAGTCTCTGTATGTATATTCCTTTACTGGTCTGAGTCAGGAGCTGGGGATGTCCAATACTGCTTAACTGCCAAGAGTATTTTCTCTCTTTCAAGGGGACCATTCTCGTGGTCCATTATCCTGCTATCATACTGCATTCCGTCGATGGCGTTCTTGATCTTCACCAAGACGTCCACGTCGTCGCGGAAAATAATGCTCCCCTCGGGCCGCAAGATCCTATCCATTTCCAACAAGATGTCTTCCACTTTGCATCTGTGACGGTAGACCAAATCACAATCCATGTAAATACATCGAAACGCCCTCGTGCTGTCATCGATGGTCGTGAAATAAATTATCTACCAACTTACTGTACCTGTCTTTGTAGAGGGTAAAGACCGAATCGGCATGAATGAGGTCATAAGTCCTCGGATAAGTAGACATGGCCTCGCACCTATTACCATAGGAATACTGGAGATTAATGGGTCTTTCAAGCAAGATGGCGAAGAATAAAGTAATATTAGTATGCTAAAACCGGTTTACTGAATTGGTATACTAAAGTAATGTGGCAAACTACAAACGGTCTTTTAAACAAGTCTCTACATGTAATAAAAGTCTGCTGCTGCTGCTATAACACTTGGAATATCAATTTAATGAACCATTCTTGAAACGCCTATCATTATTCAACAGTGAGGATCAATAATTGTGGACCAAAAGAGGTAAGGAAGTGGGGCGTGGTCTGATGTGAGGACAAGAAGAAATGGGTAGAGAAGTGATTTGGATGCTCCTCAAAAGCAACGCCCTCCAAAGAAATCTCTTTTTCTTGCTTGTGAAAACTAGGTAACGCAAGCAACACGAATTCAAAATTGATGGGCAGTTTGACAAATGGAGATTCTCACAACAACCAGAAAGGCTGAAACGAGATCTCTCTCCATAGGAAGTAAAAATGTCCCCTTCATTGTCAGTTAAAGGTAGTTTTCGATAAGGAAAAAATGACGTACCAGCTTTGATACGTCCCAATCAACCCGCGCTCGTAGATGACTCCGAGAGTGTTCACCCGAGCCTCCACAGGGACGACGTTCATGACCCACAGCGGATCATTGACCAGTGCGGCGGCGAAACCCCCCAAGTAAGAGTTCATGTCGAGCAAGTTGCGGTACCTGCCGGGCTCGGCCAACTGGTTGTCTAGAGATTTGTAATGCGAAACCCTTGTTTTCCATGCGGCAGTGTCCTCGATAAACGTCTCCTCTGTGATTCCTTCCAAACTGCCGCTGCCAATCCTAGGGGGTACCGAGATTAGCCTCTTGGGCCATCTCGCTAGCTCACCTCCTGCCACTACCTTAATGTGATTGTCCGGCACATCGGGCAATGGGGTCAAACAAGCTTCCATTTTTGTATACCTGCAAAGATAAAAGTACACAATTTCATGTCTTTTTATATATTATCAGAGGCTTAATTCACCGAGAAAGTCCTGGTAGAAAAAAGAAGTGGAAGCTAGCGATAAAGTTCAAGCCACCTATGACATAAGTGGCAGGAAAGAAGAGGGTGTATAAACAAAACCTCTGTTAATAGCAAAGTTCCTTTGATTTTAGCATGCACCAAAATTACATGATATTAAGTGTTAGGTGATTCAATGATATTCTGATTCTGAGATCATAACACAACAGAAGCAAAATGGCAAGAGCAACAAGAATTAGATCGTGGAAGTGGGTTTTTTATTGCTCACTGTACAGGAGATCCTATGGAAGAAAATGGCAAAAGCAAAGGACAATTCGCTTTGAAGACTCAAAATAACAAAAGCAACCTAGCTAAGTACCAAATTTAAGCAAATAACAGCTGTTGTACTGAGAAAAAGGAGATATTTTGGATTGAGATGGGATCAGAATTTGGGAAGGAATTGATTTAGTAATTGTGTGCAGTATTGGAAATCGTGAATGAAGATTAATGGAACTCTCAATTTGGGAAACTGCATTACCAGGCTATATCCGGATCTTGTGACCGGCAGAAATGCGGGAACTTGAACACCTTCCGGTTGATTTTACAGTGAACATGGTTGGTTGGTTTTTGCCATATCGCAATGTCTTCCTTCTGCTTTAACTTTTTCCAGCACAAGCTACGGGCTAAAGTCTCGATCGAAGTCTGTTCCGCCTTAAGATCTTCGGTTGTTCGCTCCCATCCCTTCCAATGCCTTTCCCAGTTTATCGGCGGGCCAGACAGGATCCAGTACCCGCCGGGACGCAGGACCCGGTCAATCTCGATCAAGTACAGTCCGTCTGCTCATGCATAACTAAACTTGTTATCAGAGATAATCATATACCAACGATTTTAAATAGACGAAAACAGGTTGAATACATAACAAATACACTGGGCCTACACGGAGCCTAAAAAGGGGCAAGCAGCCCCAGTGTTTTCACTTATCGTAGTTAAATTATGATAGGTCGAGTCTATCATAATTTAATTGATATCGACATAGAACAAGATTATCAACGATCTTTTCCCACGATTATCGGCATCAGCAATTGGTTAATGAGAGGGTTAGTGAATTGGAAAGCTTTCCATTTTTCTTTTGCATGCCACTGAAACTTACTGTATTGGCTCCAAGGTATGAGGCAGCGAGAGCAATGAGCCATATCGAAAGCTCTTGACGGGTAAGGAAGTCTGTTGGAGGCGAGGACCCCGATCAACGCGGGGACACCGCGCTCGAGGGCGAATTGGACCTGAGCTTCATGGGTGTCCCTCGGCGCAAATGACATCGCCAGGATATTCCGCGACAATAAATAAGCGCCCCAGCTCGCTACCTGCAGAATTCCATTAAAGCTTCATATGGAATTCCAGGAAAATTCCACACGAACTCGAAAACTTTTAAAAAACATAAAAATAAAACACCAAAATGAAAGCGTATGCACTCTTTCTTCCTTTCTTTTTACTCTTTTGAATATGCGGGTCACAAGTCAAATGGAGAGCTCAATGTCATATCAAAATAGTTATCCCGTTCATTTCGCTGGGTGTGAAACCAATGAATTTGTTCCCCTTGAGGGTTTTTTCTATGGTCCCATGACCATGACCTGGTCCGATTTAAAAATTTATTTACTCCTTGATAAGAACATCTGCGGTCATTATAATACTTACCATATAGAGTAGCCAATGTTTTTACAGAAGGTAGATAGCATGTGCTAATGTGATGATGTTTGTGTGCAAAGCACGAAGGGATAATTCTGTGGGTCTGATGTAAGCTTGTTTGCTAAGCAAGTAAAGGAGGAAATAACTGGACAAGAGTAAATGCTGGTGGGTAAATGGTCGACTTTGTGACCCACACATGGCGTTGGTCTTCCAACTCCACCATCATCAAAGCACTTAAACTACAATTTCAATGAATTCTTGAATGTCAAAAACGGTTCAAGGTGCGTTGGACGAGTTGCAGCATGGTTTTCTCGACGACAAAAGCTTCGATAACTGAGATGAGCGGAAGTTTCTTTCACCACTTGAACAAGGAAACATAAACTCAGATTAATTCATATTAATGACGCGCATTACACCTCGAAATTTCCACATGCTGCAAAGTCATTAATTTTTCCTGCAAATTCCATTTTCCATAGATTTACACGCTTGATAGAAGGACAAATCTAATGATGACCTTCCTTGTCATCTGGCCAAAAGATAAAAAAATAGAAGAAGAAAGAATCCTCCCCTGTTAATATTTATCTCCTACCAAGGTCTAGGTTTCCTGGATGAAGATACCATATCATCTGGCCATAAATACGTTTCAGAAACGGCACTGCATTTACGAAGGATGAATACAAAAACACAAACTGGATAATTATCCCATTAAATTTCTTTGAAACTCCTTCCCACGAGGAGGAAACCCAATTACCTCTTCCTTCATTTTTGCCCACAAACCCAGATTAAATATGACCTTTGAATTCTCTCTCTCTCTCTCTCTCATCCTCCATAGTTAATTCATTCTGCACCATTTCTAGTCCTCCTACGTCCTACCACAAAGATACAAAACGTGTTTTAGGAAAATCGAATCGAACCCACCTATATTCGCCATTAACACTAAATGAATCAGCAACACCCCCCCCCCAACCATCGAAGAAAAGTCGAGCACAACGCACTCGAAGGAAAAAACCAAGAAAACAGAGCAACGAGTCCGCATTGCACAGCTACTAACCATGCAACGACATAATCTCAAACCGCAAATTCATGAACCAAGAACTGAACTGACAGAGTCGGTCACACCATCACGGTTCTTGAACCAATCCCCAGAAAGATCGTGATCACTCCACTAATGCAATGAAAAATGAAAGCTTTACTTTAAAGAAAAAACTCACCCCACAACCAGTATCGAGAGCAGTTCTTATAGACCCATCTCTGAGATCTATCATCTTCCCGATATCTTCGATGTACTTATCAGCGCCGTTCGGAAACATGGTCCCGCCGCCGGGAAACACGAACCTGTCGCCCTCGAACTTGACCCAATTCTGGTTCTTCTTCTCCACCGTCAGCTCCTTGTGCGGCACGTTCGCGAACCACGCCGTCCCGCGGCTCTCCGGCCACCGGAACGGCCTCCTGTACCCGTACGGCGCCGGCACGCGGCACCGGAGCCGCTCGCCGCCACCCTCGGGGCAGTGCCGCTCCCGGTACACGAGCATCTCCCGCTCGAACCTCAGCGACCGCGCCACGTCCTCGCAGGGGGTGTACTCGCTGAAGTTGGCGCCGCACCGCGGGAAGCGGCGCCCGCGCCCCGCCCCTTGGGGCGGCGCGCGGAGGTCCCCCGAGTGGTGGTGGGCGGAGAAGTCGAGCGGGCGAGCGCCGTCGTCGGCGGCGGCGGCGGCAGAGATCGGGGTGCTGCATGGGAAGATCGTGGAGGGGGAGGCGGGGGGCAAGTCGGCGGGGCGGCGCCAGAGGGCGGCGAGGTAGGAGAGGGTGCAGAGGAAGGAGGTGGCGGTGAGGTAGAAGAGGGTGGACTTGTTGGTCTTGGCGGCGACATAAGTTAGAGGGTTTGGGCAGGAGCCGGTCTTGGCCATCGTTGCCAAACAAGAAGAGCAAGAACTGAGAGAAGAAGAAGAAGATGAAGCGTGAGAGAGATGGTACGCAGGGCCTGGTTTTGGCGGACTTCCGACGCTCTGTATTTAGAGAGAGAACGTTTCAAGAATATTTACGTGGAGGTTTAGAGAGAGAAAGAGAGCCGTGCTCGTGAGCGCAGTGAAGGAGAAAGAAGGAGGAGGCTCTCTGACGTCAAAAATTTTGCGAAATATTCAGCGTTTTCTTTTTTCTTTTTCTTTTTATGGCTTTTTTTTATTCCTTTTTTTTTTGGTGAAATTCAATGGTGCAGTGAGCGATACTTATTTTGGAAACAGTACAATGGGGAGGGGGGGGGGGGGGGTCCGGATTTAGTGCCTCTCTTTCCTTGATTCTTACTCTTTTTCTCGAGAATTGACTCTGGTTCTGTAATCTACCCTTTTTCTTGATCATCATCGCTTTCCTCGGATGACCATGGCGATGGTGATGAGAGGAAACGAAGCTGATGATCGATAAAGCCTCGCACCTTAGAACAGTTGTGTGGTCATTTAGCCCGCTAGCGGTTCGACTTCTCCCGTGCGCGTACTTTTCTTCATCTCCTCCTCCGAGCGACCGAGCCGGAGTGACTTGCACCGAGTTTCTATTGATTCTACGGACAAAACAAAGGGGATAAATACACGTGTGATTAGAAATCATATATGAATTTTCGGAATACAAGATGACGACACTAAAGAAAATTATTTTTCATCATGTATCGTGAATCCTAGAAATCTCGTTGGGCTTTAGGACAGTTCTTGACCCAATCATGCCGCTATTAACATGCACAAATTGCATATATGCATCTAAATGTGGCATGGCCCGAATAAACGATTTGACATCGAGGAGTGGCCTTGACAAATTACACGAAATTGGCAACACAGCAGTTTATCATAGCAAAGCCAGTCGGGTTAATTTTTAATTACAGACAACAAAATGAACGAGATAATGCAAGCCATGTTACATGCTATGTTGCCAAAAAAATCATCTTGAGTAGGCTTTGGTCCCATGCAAAAGATGCTCGCAAGTTTTTCGTACGTATGGATTCCACACCACACGAAACCAAACCAGCAAGGCTCGTGGATTTAACATAGCATTTGTTTATAAGGGTACATGAAGCTTGGCAGAAAAAGGCTGACCTTCGTAGACGTATTGTCAATTAGGAACTTGTTTTCTTCTTCCAAAATCGACTTAGGCGCAAATTTATTGGACGAAATTTATTACATGGTGCATAATTTTTAGCTTAAAATGAGCTAAAAAGGCTCTCGACTTTTTGCAAGGAGGGAAGGTTAGAACAGCTAAGAAGGATTCAAGGCATAGATGGTAGGACTGCTGTGACCTCCCATAAATTTGTGATCCTATCATCTGCCAAATGATCTTTTTTGTCCCCCAATGATTACAAGACTTTCAAGAAAATGTTTCTTTAACTCCTTTGTTGTTGGGAGTAGCCATGCAAAGCGGGAAGATCCAAGCGACACCTGGTACTGTAAGAGGTTTATAGCCAATGAAGCGTGGGGGAATTCCCAATGCACTGGAAGACCCCAAAGCTTTCAGTTCAGACTCGCAGATTCTTGATTCTGCAGAGAAAGATGACCGCCAATGCACAAGCGAGTGGGGCCCGTGACAAATGATTATCCCTGTCTTTTCTTTTTCACTTAGATTTCCCTAATTTCAGGGTGGTTTCTTCCTTCACAAGGTGCGGTGCGGTGCAGAATAACGTGTAACTGTGATCGGAGTGTTAGAATACGGATGCATTCCGTAATGATCACGTTTGTATCGTCGAACATTGGACTTACACGAACATGCACTTTCAAACTAGCACGTCTCGACGGACCCAATCACATGCATGTTTGAAGAGGGGAAGCACATGAACAAGAAGAAATCGCATGCATGGTCACCCATCATGCGGTAGCAGATGAGAACTAAACCACCCATGTTCAGAAGCAGCGGATCGTACAATCAACAGGTCATGGAGCATGGAAAGTGAGTCTTCTAGCATGAAGTTGGGGCCCTTGAATAAGAATTCACGCCTACGGTTTGAAAAAACTGCCATAATATTCCGTAGACTTACTTCATTGGATCAAACCACTCAAATATCCAAAACACAATCGCCCCGTGAAAACCCACATGTTCCTACATATCTGTCGCATTGTGATAAGGTTCGTTCACCATATAATCAGCACGATGAGCTTATCTAATATTTTATTTTATTTTTCTCAAACGAGCCAGAAATATAGTCAGAGATCATCGCTTCTGTCGAGTGCTTCAAACTAACCAAAAGCAAGAGAAATCTCAAGCACCAACCAGACCCGTATCAAGTCAAGCTAACTGCTTGCACCTCCTAAAACAGGTTGAATACGACGTGTTCAGGCAACTATTGTATGATGTCATACAGAAACTACCAGCAACAACTGAACAAACACTAAAGACAACAGCAAGGCATATTATTTGTCATAGAGATCAACGGATAACTTTCTAAAGCATAGATGCACAAATAATGGGGTGAGTTTCAACATCACCCTAAGAGACAGCAAGCTAAAGCAAAAATAATACACTACTGCAGATTCAAGCACAGGCCTTTGATAATTATTGGAGGGATACAGAGGCTGTATGATCAGAATAAGCTTTCTCTCCTCAGGATGCCTTCGACTTGGGTGGTGAAGGCAGTAACTGCATGAAAGCAACAGAGGAATTCACACGAATGTCCCCATAATTAATTACCAACAGATGCACGAAGAATCACTATATAAAGAGTTGTCAAAATATGCATTAAGAATCACTTCCAAATACGAGGCATGTGAAACACTAAATCTGCATGCAACTAAAGAAGTCTAAGCGGCATCACTATTAACCCAATACTTCATCATTCGGTCATAAAAAAAAATGCTTCATCTTCAGAATGTTCAGTCATCAGAAAAAACTGTTCACGAAGACCACCAGTGCTGCATCATATGTTACTATTTTGCTGACAACATCAACAAATTTCTTTGCTATAGAAATTCTTTATCAATGTTCTGAGAATGGTGCATTTAGCTGATCTTATGTTCTAGTTTGTTACTGCACTAATGACACCATGTTCAGGTGAAGAACAAGAAGAGAGTAGATAGGAAGATCAACTACCTGATAACATGAGATAAGAGAGCTAACAAATCCAAAGGCTCCTGTTACACGGGGAGTAACTTTCTTGGGCGCCAATTGAAGCAGGCCTACCGCAACAACGATGTCCATCGACGCCTTAATCAAGGCCAGAGTCCTCTCATTGGATTTTTTAAGCTTAGCTCGATACTGCTCATTCTGTGCCAGGGAAGTACAAAAGGGATAGAACATATCACAACACAGAAACGGAATAGTGACAGTGTAAGGCAAGAAGCAACAATAGGTGCGGTGCCAGATGGACAAACACTTGATTGATTAGAAAAGAGCACTGTGACCATACTTGATACTTGTCACCATCTTTCAGATTCTTCTCTAACTTCTTCATTGATGCGGACAGCCTCCCTATCTCCCCAAGCTGATTCAAAAATCACCAAAAGATTGTAAGAAAACCATTTTACATTGTTTCATTACAGAAATTTAAAACAAGCTAAAATAATGAGGGAATGCCACAGACCTCAACCAAGGTAGTGCATATTGAGGAACCCGTCCAACAGAAGAGTGATATCCGCCCAAGAAGCTCAGCACGTTCTTTGTTCTGCACCATACAAAATATCAAGGTCCTTCAGTTCTAACATCTAACGCAACCACATATATACAGGACACAGAAAATAGCAACCTTCATACCTTGTAGATGCCAGTTCTACCAAGCCAGACGATTTGATCAAGGAACAAGAACGTTGATAATAATGCATTTTTGGACTGCAAACAAACAAAAATTTATGAAAGACCATATGAACAAAAGAGAATCGGTCCATTATCTGTAGAAAAAGAAGAGGAATCTCAGAGAATACTCTAGCAGCCATTTATTTGTACCTTCCCAAGCAAAACAAGAGCAAGAGGTGTCCCTTCAGGAACAGGACCGATAAGACCGTGCAGATCATTGACAAACTGCATCATAAAAATGAAATGGATCAGCAACAAATCTGAGTTAGAATAGGAAGTCCAAAATCTATCATTTTTGGGTCAATATCACCAGCTCATGAAATTGAGAAAGAACATTATAAATAAATGCAATGTTTTGAAAGGTTAGATACATCCAGACACTTAAAGGGATATAAGTCAACAACCAGTCGATTAGTCTTTTAGAAACAGAAAGCAAAAGAGTTAAACCCACAACTATATCAGATAAAAGAGTTGCAATTATCTGAGCATTGTCGAAAAAATGTAACAGAAAGTATAATTAGGAAAAGTAACCTAACCTTGAAAAGGCGAAATACTTTTCGTGCTAAGCTGGTCGATTTGTCAACATTCTGGGCTGTACCAGGCTCTCCATTACTTAAGAATTTCGATCCATATTGAATGGCCCTGCATATCTTGTCCCTGGCTTCAGCCTTATTCAGATACAGAACTGCGAGGGCAAGGTCGGCTCTAGCTACATCTAAAGAACTCATCCTTAACCTAATCAAACTGCAAAAATTAAACATGGCACTTATTATTTGAGAATCAGAAAAGACTAAACAATACGTGCGTAGTCAACCGTGCATATAATTGCAGTCAAAAATATCCGCAGAAATCAACACCAACATAGCTCAGCACGTGAATGACTCCTTCAAGAAAACAATCAAGGATTTGAACATTAATATGGAGTATGGACCAACAAAAATGCATCCATTTGCCCAGAACCCTATTCACGCGGCATGAATGACAAAAAAAAGCTTGGTTTCTCATTTGACAGAGAAGCAAAGGCACAGGAAACCGCAAGAAATCTAGGAGACAGATAGCAAGACCAAACAATCCTCCGTGGAATTCAACCTCGACCCAGAATGCAAAAGTTCAACTTCCAAAGCCTGTACAAAAACCCAGAGTCTAACCAAAAGAGATGACAATTCCTCAATCGCGCGCCCGTGCACACTCCAGCATCTCAAAATTCGAAATTTACAAGCTAGGGACGATCTTTCTCTATCTAAAACACTAGAGAATGTAACAATTTCTGCAAAACTAAATCCAGATATTACTCACATGAGCACCGAACAATCACGCCGAATTAGAATCGCGTACCGCAACGTACCTCGGTTCAATTCCTAGCCCTCGCCACCCTAAGCTAAGACACCGCACTCACCATAGCTCAACCTATTCCCAGCTCCATCTACAACACACTCTTCCCCCTACGAATTCCACCTCAAACACCAGCTGAATCAAATTCAGATCACCAAAAACACACCACATGAATTCAGAAAACCCTAACGAGCCGAACGAAGAGCCGGAGAAAAAGGGGAGCAACATAGCGGAATCACCATTGATCCTATATGCCTATCGAAAGACGAGCTCGATTCGAAGAACAGAGTCGCGGAGGATCACGGAAACCGCGATTCGCGCGAAATCCGAGCGAGGAACGAAGACGGAAATGACGACAGATTTCAACAGAACGGATCGAAATGACGGAAGCTTTGCTCGCGCATACCTCTCTCGATCAGAGACGAGACGACCAATCGAAGACGTTCTTCGCGGTGGAGTTCTTCTTGCAGCTTTTTTTTTTCCTCTCTTTTTGTAGATATCTAGAGGGATAACGACACATTCATTCCTTAAATTTTGACCGCTACGTAATTTGGTTCTTAAGTTTTTAATTTGTTCAATAAAATCTTTTAACTTTAACTTAATATTTAATATGATCCATAAACTTTTAATTTATTCAATATGGTCTATAAACTTTTGATACATGTTCAATTTAGTGAGGACTACATTGAACATTTTCATATAATTCAGGGACTAAATCAAATATGTACCAAAAATTTAAGGATGACATTGAATAAATTAAAAGTTCAAGAATTATATTACATATTTGATTAAAGTTTATGAATTATATTAAATAAATTAAAATTTTAATGATTAAATTGCATATTAAATTAAAGTTTACGAACTCTTTGCGTGATTTTCTCATATTTATATTTACTTTTTTTATGAGGAAGGGATGAGGCAGGCGGTTGTGTACCGAAGCGAGTGCCAGCTGACGTGTCCTCGAAATTCAGAATTTCGTCCCTAATTTTTTGAGCTTTTCTTTTTGGCCTTTCTCTCTCTCTCTCTCTAGAAATATGGAAGGTGAGAGAGAGAGCGAGTTGAGAGTGCGACGGACGTAGTATTTAAATTTTTAATTTATTCAATATAATTTTAATTTAATATGCAAATCATGTGAAAATATTCAATATCGTTCATGATCTTGAATTAATGAAACAACAACGTTAGACATTTTCATTTAGTTCAGAGACTATATTGAATAAGTTTCGAAAGCCCAGGAATCACATTGAACATATTTAAAAGTTGAGGATTCAAATTGCACATTAGATTAAAGTTCAGGGATAATATTTAATAAATTAAAAGTTTATGGATCACATTATGGGTTGGATCAAAGTTCAGAGACTATTTATATCATTAAAACTTTCCATATTGCTTAATCATGATAAGGGCCCGCTTGGCACTGCACTATAGTATGAACATCAGGACACGTAGCGTAATTTTTTCTTGGCCGTCATAATCATTCAATTGAACCACCAAAATATACGGGCTTCCATTTCTTCGCCAATTTTTTTTATCATTTCTTTTAAATTTGTGCGCATGCCTTTATTAATAATTTTGTGCGAATTGGTGTAGCCAATCATCAAAAAAAATGAAAATTCCCTTGTCCGTAAAAAACTTAATAGAAATCATGAATTTTTTTAATGTCTGAACATGTGTCATTGGATAAGTTAGGCAAGTCGGAACCCATCACTACATTTCTTCGTATCTAATCTGGTCTGGTCTGATAGCCAACCCTACGTAGGGGTCGTTGAGAGAGAATGCGTAAGCCGGACATTAGAATATCAATGAAATCGTAGACTACATAAGGAGGTTACAACTTGCAATTATGCTCGAATATTAAGAGCTAAAGCTCTAGATTCTCATAACAGAAGATGATCACGAAAGCAATTCTAGGCTAGCATAAATAGCATTTGAGTTTTACTCATGAAGAACGAAACGCACCAGCATGAACTCATCAACTAGTATCCTACATGGACAATGAGATATTGCTCATACATGATACAACAACAACAAGAAGAAGAAGAAAGAAACTTTAGGACCATAATAAATAAGGTTTAGCTCACAATTCACTAGTCCCTGCTGAACAGGCTTCTCAGCTTCCCCATTTCCAGCCTCTCCAGCAATCTCTTGGCCCCCGGAATGTCCATCTCGGCGAGCTTCTTCAGATACCCGATCGCCCCGTGAGCGATCATCATCCTCTTGCACTTCTGGCTCGACGAGAGGCACAGCAGGCACGAGACCGCGTACTTCTTCGCGGTGTTCTGAGGGCTCGAGTCGAGGAGCTGGACCAAGTTGTGCACGCTCTTATCGTCCTTCTTTATCTCCTTGCAGTTCTGGGGCACAGTTATCAAGCTGGAAACGGCTCGTGCGGCGATCTCGCGGGCGCCGTGCGGCTTGGCCTCGAGCAGCTTGATCAGGAGGGGGATACACCCGGCTTCACCGACCAGTTTCTTCATCTCCTCGGATCCGCACGCCCTACAAATGGCCGATGCGGCCGCTTGCTGGGCACCTAACGATCCGTACTTGAGTACGTGGACCAACCGAGGGAGGAAATTGAGAGATGCTAGTTTTTCTGGGGGCAGCGATCCGACCAAGTTTCTCAATGCCGAAACCGCAGACTCTTGGGGCAACGGGCAGTCCAAATAAGCCAACAAACTCCGGAACCCCCCTTCCGAAATTACGGACTTTCGTAGATTCTCGTTGCCTGCAGTGAGATTCTGCAAGCATTCCGCCGCGTATTCCTTGGTTCCAAGTAAAATTCCACAATCAAGTAGATCGATCATTACCTTTACAATGCCTTGCTCGGACAAACTCTGTCGGACCTCGGGTACAGCCGAGATGTTCTTCAAAGCACACGCCGCCGCCGCCTGCAAAACAGAATCCCCAGTCCGGCATGTCTCGATCAGCGGCTGGATCCCTCCATGGCCCACAAGGGCACGTGCAGTCTCAGCCGACATGGATAACCTCTGAACAGAAATCACAGCCTTCTCTTTACCTACCGTGCTTCCAGACTCGAGAAGCCTAATCAGAGGGGGTAAAACACCTTCCGACACAAGCCAATTTTCGTAATTCCCCGACTCAATTATCGAGCATATAACTGTGATGGATTTTTCGCGGATACAAGGAGATGTCGCAGTGAGCATTTGGATTAGTGCAGCGATGTTGCTGCGTCCTAGTGCGGCGAATAAGCTCTTCTCATCCTCCTTCATAAGTTCTAGGACACAATCCAGAGCTCTGTGTTTTGCCTCCAAATGACCAATCTGAAGCCGTGCGAGCAATTCTTTAATATTGCTACTTGTTACGGCCTCCGTTTCGGTCAAAGAGTTGGGAATTGCAGATACCGGCTCCGACACCTCCCCGAGCACTCCAGTCTTGATCAAGAGACCGCAATCCCGGAGATTCAAATCTAGTTTCCCAGACAAGGAGTCAAGATCGCTCTGCATCCTCAGCTTCCCTTCGTACTTCTCACCCAAACACGACTCGGCCAACTCGATTACTTCTGCAAGAGTTCTGGACACTGCCTGCAACTGTTCTTTGGAAAGCGCGTTCTTTGAGAAGCAAGGATGGCTCGACAGGTCCGACAAGCATGAGGGAATCTGCTCCAGTTTCGAAATTATCTTCCTCCAGCGCGCCGGGAATCCCTTAACCTCTCTGGCTCTATCCAATGCCACCGGAACGAGCTCACGAGCATGTGACAACCAATCCTCAATGGACCGCTGATTCGCCAGAACCTCATTTTTGCCTTCTTCCACCATAGTTTTGATCTGGCAATGAAAAAAAATCTATGACAAGCTGTCCCCAAGACAATCGAGCTGAGATTGAGGGAATCCAGAACTTGCAAGAAAATATAGGAATGGAAAGAACAAACTTGTGGAAGAAAACTAGAAGACAGCAGAGTAGTTGCAATTATTATACGGTTATGCGTCATATTAAACCGAGAAAGGCATATGATGTAATACCGATGGGAATATAACAAATGGATGGTCTACAATAGCTTCGAAAGTCTTTAATAAAAAAAAGGGACAGGACCCAAATAAACATATACCTAAAGATGTCCCACTGACCATGCTTTAATGCTTTGTCTAGCTCTACCATTCAATGCAGAGGAATTTAAATGCTGTAGAGATGCATATGGCACACGAAAGAAGTTTCGTCGAATGTTCGTCCGTGAAGCATCGAATTGACTAATCAAGCAGCAGAGATTAGCTCTCAGGAAATTATCTTTTTACTTCATTCTTCGGACATTCACATGCAGAACAAAATTGCGGCTTGACAATTTCAACCACACCCCCAAAAGAACGGGATATCAGCGGCAGATTTAACCCATCTACATAAGCTAAAGATCAATGCCAATCTAAATCCAAAGGTCATTTTCACTTGAAGAAACATTAAAAAGATGGATGCATTCGCTGAATTCTCACAATTATCTAGCTTTTCCTTGTGACATGAACTTTGAGGTGAGACTTTGCGTGGAAGAGAAGGTAAAAGTCTCTATCATAACAGTTGTAGTGTATTCCAATTCAGTTCAACCATAGTCAAGACCAACCTCTCACGGAAATCATCATACAGGCCAAACAAATGAATACAAAACCCGAAATTGCTTTAAGACTCAAAAGTCAGTGAATACGACCCGCACTGACAACTTGAAAATTGCTACCTTTTAGAATGGAAGCAAACCACTACACCATCGCATGATCATAACTGGGTAAGTTTCAGAAAAGCAGGTCAAAGCTCATTTCAACAGATACCTACCTTCCAAGAACTCTTCCTGCTGCAACTTTACGGCTTCCCTTCACCTTCAAAGCTTCTCTGTTCTCTCACTTCTCGGAAATCATAGGCTTCCAAAATCAGTAATCAAACCCACGCGTCGTTTCGACGGGCTTGTCCTTCTCCTCCAGAGCGACGATCCGAGGAACACCTGGAAGCCGAGAATCCCCAAGAAATCACATGTGTTCTCGAGCCAAGAGGACACGGCGACAAGGCAACAGTCAAGAACCGTGAAGGAAATGAGAGGAGACGATCGCATTCAAAAAAAAACTCAAAACCGCATCTGCGCGAGATGGCTCCGCTCCTTCCTCTGCGGCCGAAGAGCACGTCAGGCGGTGGCAGGGTCTCGCTGTCTTCGCCTCTTCGGATTCCCGTTTTTTGAACACGACGGAGTTTTTTTTTCCTTTTTTTCTTTTTTTCTTTTCTTTTTTTTTTTCGCGAAGCCAATGATTTCTCACCGGCGTGGGGTGGAATGGGGCAGGAATCTTAAATGTCGGGCACGATGGGTGGATGGACGGCTGAGATCGGGCGATGACAGTGACCGTTGTGGGATGGGTGGGGGTGAAAAAATTTGAATGCGCTGTTGGGAAGTCGATGCGACCGGAGCGTGACGTGGCGGGCAAAACCACGTGGGGCACTACCGCCCTCGTGGGGTTGTGGATCTCCCACGTGTGGACCTTCGGAGGCCTTTGTATTATCGAAAGGAAAAAATTTCAAATATGAATCTGAAACACCTCCATTTTCTTGAATAAATATTAGAAGTGAATTTTATTTCAAATAAATTTTATTTCAAACAAATGAATCTAAAAGGCCTAACTTTCCGGATGATCGAGGGCACTTTCATCCTTTACCTTCTTCTTTTTTTTTTTGCCTTTTTCCTTTCTTTTCTTTTTTTGGTAATTTTCCCTAGCAATAAAAAGTATAAGGGTTAATACCATGAAAAACCCCAAACTAGTACACTTGTGACAAATTTACCCCAAACTATTTTTTTGACCACAAAAAACCCTAAACTGGTACACCTGTAACAATTTTACCCCGAACTATTTTTTTGACCACCAAAAACCCCACACCGGTATACCTGTGACAATTTTACCCCCGAACTAATTTTTTGGCCACTAAAAACCCCAAACTGGTACACCTGTGACAAATTTACCCTCCGTTAGTTTCCGTTAAATTTTACTGTCAAATTGCGAAGTTTAATGACACGTGGTAATTGACATGTGTACCGGTTTTGGGTTTTACCCCTCTATTTGTCACAAGTTTACCAATTTGTAATTTTTTGTGATATTAATATAATTTAACGGACACTAACAGAGGGTAAATTTGTCACAAATGTACCAGTTTGGGGTTTTTAGTGGTCAAAAAATTAGTTCGGGGGTAAAATTGTCACAGGTGTACCAGTGTAGAGTTTTTGGTGGTCAAATAAATAATTCGGGGTAAAATTGTCACAAGTATACCAGTTTGGGGTTTTTAGTAGTCAAAAAAATAGTTCGGGATAAATTTGTCACATGTGTACCAGTTTAGGGTTTTTTGTGGTCAAAAAAATAGTTCGGGGTAAAATTGTCACAGATATACCAGTTTAGAGTTTTTCGTGGTATTAACCCAAAGTATAAAGGCACTTATAACTAATGAGACGATAACCACTATTATAAAATAAAATAGACAAACAATGAAGATTGGGATATATTATGCAAATTCATATATCAAATATAAAGAAAAGAGTATTGTATGGGCGCGTTATCAAGAAAAAAAAAAGTGTTGATGAGAATTCACTTTATAACTGAGAAGGGAAATGAAAATTTATCAAGAAGGTGGATAATATGGATAAGAAAATACTAGAAGAAATTATTTCCACGACAAAGGTTGAAGTCGAAAATCGAAGTTCAATAAATTGGGCGCAAGTACTGATGAAGGGCATTGCAAGGCCTGCTTCGTTTGCTTTTCGTCACAGTTCATTTCCTTAGTATGAAAGCATAATGTCCTTCGGGTAAAGAAACGCATACGTACGAGAGACTTATCAAATAATGTAACATGTCAGGATTTTGGAATCGTGAATGATGAAGCCTATTCATTTACGATACAACAAAAATCGTACATCGTTGTGGAATTACCTTATTTCCATTTCAGTCTTTATCCGATCTCGCTTCACTTCACTGGAGTTTGCCGGGGTGAAAAAAGACTGGGCCAAAGTCCGGTCCGACCGGTCCGATACGGACCTATTTTTTGGGCCAGGCTCAGGTTGGGTTACAGGGCTCTAGAGTTGTCGAATGGGTGGGTCGGATCAAAAATGATCCGGCCCATTGACCCATTTACATGCAATACAAATTCAGTTATTCATATCCGACCCGACCAATGCCCAACTCATACCGACCCGACTCACGTTACTAAAATACATAGATATTTATAAACAAGAACTTTTGTACTATGCGTGTAGCGTGTAGATTTATCAGGTTCTCCAAAAAGATTTTCGACTTGTTTACGACTTTTTTTTTGTTGCAAATTTTTCGAGCTTCACAATGAAGTATCCAACGTCTCTTGAAATCAATAAGTCAATAAATATTGACACGTAAAATCATATACTAATTTTCACGAAAAAATCTATTACAAAGCTATATCCCGTGAATCTCAACGTACTTTCAAGTGATTAATACGAGACGAGTCAACCCGACAACGATGCTCAGTGATTGGACCAGGCTGTCGAAGTCCAAGGGGAATGGCCAACTGTGACCATGGTCTCTCACGGAGTAGCTGAGGTTCAATCGATATTAATGACCTTTTCAAAAGAATAGATTATTTTTTTCCTAGACATCCTAATACAAAACAAAGGGCCCTCATAAAAAGTTGTAGCGCACAATAAAATACCCAACAAGCTAATATCGATAAGGGACACCAGACAGGACTCGAATCCGAAGAAGTGCTAGAAATGTATCGGATAAGAGAAGGCGATTTTCAGCGAAACTCCCAAACTAAGGAGCTGGATTCATCTTTGGAGAATTATGGAGTTCTCTTGGCAGTTGGCCTTTGGATTCTAATGGAATTCCTGTGTTAATCACATGATGCACAAGTGAAATGGATTTGGCTTCGTCTTTTGCTTGGAGTATATGCGGTTAGCACTGAAGAACTGTACCCGATCTTGGACGACAATTCCGCACCTTCTTTTAGGTCGAAATCAAAAGCAATAGCATCCGGATTCTTTTTTTCCATCGATGGAAAACGTGCACCAGAGGGGGTGATAGGAAGAGGTGACCCGTTTGTACTACCATACGGAAGTTTCAAATGAGCGGTCAGAATATCAGATTTTAGTAGACCTATCAAATATATGGGTTGGGTCGAATTTAGATCGGATCGAAAATGGTCTGACCCAAATATACCAATTTAACCCGTTTTGATCAATTTTGCATGTAATGCAAATCTAATGACCCATACATGACCCGACACTCATCCGACTCGACCCATATTACTAAAATACTTTTATATTTAACTCAATTTAAGAAAACTCATGCCGCGAAGTGAGTGAGTGCGAGATCGAGTGAGGGCAAGAAAGATGAGTTGAGTTTAAATAAGGTGTAAACCCATTTATGACCCATTTACTTATTTACTTAATATAACTAATCCATTTATGACTCATTTAATGATAAATGGATTAAGAAATGGATTTATGACCCATTTTCACAGGTCTAGATTTTAGTTAGCTGCTACTCATGTTGAGCAAGCTTATCACCGCCGACTGCAAGTTGGAATAACGTTCATGTTATCTACGCTCGACACACAAACTGAATCAGATTTTCATGAGATCAAGAGACGTGCTAAACCACTCATGTATAAAATTAGGAAAGCAAATTCTCTAATCTGAAAAAGTAAAAATGCTTTTTGGAATTGTTTATCTTAAATTTGTTAGTATTTTCTTTTTTCTTTTCTTTCTTTTTATTTTTCCTTCTTCCTCCCTCCGCCAGTCATCGGTCGACGGCCTTTCCAAAATTGCTTATCATTGAGTTTTTTGTGAAATAAACGCACCCGAAGTTGTACAAATAATGAGTGCACATATGAAGAAATTGATCTATAGGTACATTATAAGTCCTAAAACTTGTTACGAAAGTGTAATTGAGTCATAAAACTTTCAAAAAAAAGCAATTAAGTTCTAAAGTTTATCAAATTGATACAATCAAATCCTTTTGTTAATTATGTCCCATTTGGCTGACGGAAAATCCTGAAGTGATTTTTTTCATTATTTTCTCTATTTCACGTGGCGCTGATGTAATTAAAATGACGTTATTTTGGTTTAAATTTGATTTTTAATATGAATTTAATTTAAATTATATTAAAAATAAGCAAAATTTTTTTAAAAAAAAATACAAGGCAATGATCGCATGCGTTTCCCTTCCTTCTTCTTTTTTCTTTTTGTTTGTTTTTTTAAAGTTTTCTTTTTCTTTAACATAACTTAAATAAAATTTGTATTAAAAATTCATATTTGGACCAAAACAATAATGTTTTAACCTTGTGTTTCGTGCTTTAGCCACAAAGTCCGAGGGGTATGGCCAACCGTGACCATGGTCTGTCACGGAGTAGTTGAGGTTCGATCGATATTAATGGATCAATCGATGGCTAATGGTGGAATTGTAAGTGAATTTTCAAAATGATTTATTTTTTCGATGGCTTCGGGTTGGAGAAGCTCAAACTCAAAGTGGCTCCAAACGGACCCACCATCTTTTGTGAAACAGACACGTGTTTAGGATTTACTGGAAAATATAATATATATATTTTTTCTTCGACACCCTAATAAGTGACAAGTGACCTCATAAAAAGTTGTAGAACGCAATAAAACATCAAACGAGCGAACATCGATAGATGATACTGGACAGAGGTCGAATCCGAAGAGGTGTTAGAAAAGCATTGGAAAAGAGAACGCGAATTTCAGCGAGGCTCCCTAACTCAGGAGCTGGATTCATCTTTGGAGAATCATGCGGTTCTCTCGGCAGTTGTCCTTTGGATTCTAATGGTATTCCTGTGTCAGTCACATGATGCACAAGTGAAATGTCTTTGGCTTCGTCTTTTGCTTGGTATATATGCAGATGGCACCGCAGAACTGTACCTGTTCTTGGACGACAATTCCACACCTTTCTTTAGGCCCAAATCAAAAGCAATAGCGTCCGGGATCTTTTTTTTTCCATCGATGAAGAACGTGCACACAGGGGGGTGATCGGAAGAGGTGACCCCGTTTGAATCACCACGTCGGAGTTTCAAATGCGCGGTCAGAATATCAGATTTTAGCTAGCCGCTGCCCATGTCGAGCGAGCTTATCAACGTCGACTGCAAGTTGGAATAACGCTCGTGTTATCTACGCTCGTGACACACAAACCGAACCGGATTTTCATAAGGTCAAGAGATGCACCAAACCACTCGAGAGTGAGTCTTATTTGACTCGACCGACTGACCGCCTCTGAGTTAGTAAACATTAAGGTGTTCTTGAATTACTTTAGGCATGTCATCAAAATAGGTGAATGCGAACTCCAAGTTCCAGAAAAAGGTTAGTTATTTTTTTTTTCGGTCGAACAATTTTTTTTAAAAATTTTTCTAGGCAAATTGTCATTTTTTTTTAATATACCGGAGAGATAAATACACCTTAATACAGATACCACTTCACATCAACATAAAATAAATAAATAAATAAAATGGACTTATTCAATTATATTCAAGAAGTGTCTGGATATTGACACTTCATGCGACAAGGATAGCGGCAGGGAATCAATCATTGAAAATTGGCGAAAAGGGTTGCTTCCCAGAATGTACCATAACAACAGATACAATGAACTACACCAGGAATCACGATGACGTGATTTGAAGACTAAGCACATATGCTTTGATCTTAAGCTTGCGTTTTTAAGCTTAGCAATTAGCATCGAGTCAATACATTATCAAAGGAAGATCGAATTTTTCTTTTAGGCAATTAAACAATGGGGTAGAACAGATACCTTGATGAGGCTTGCAAATATTCTCCTTGGCTTTGTTCAAGGGAAATTTTATATTTAATTTCTTTTTAATTTCCTCATTTGTCTATCCAATTAAAGGGAAAATAACATAAATGGTCCCCAAATTTTGGTTCGATATGCAATATTATCCTTGAAACTTTTAGTTTTGTTAAACGTGATCCCCGAACTATTGGTAAATATACAGTGTAATCCTTCCGTCTGCTCACACGACAAATCAAACGTTGTTTTTGTGTCGAGTTGGATATCTTAAAATGATGAGTCAACATGTACATTCTTTTACCCATTTACCTTTAGACAAGGAAAAGAAATTAAATTTCAATACGTCCATCATATGATGGCATGAATTCTTATATCCTTATTTGAGATGAACACTACGTACACAATCCACTCGTAACTTGTACAAACTTGACGGCTTGAAAGCCACATTAGCAGAATCCGGTAATTTGAATAAAACAGGATGACGACATTGACCATTTTCAATATAGTTTAAGAACTATATTGAGCATTTATCTATAATTCAGGGATCTCATTAAATGAATTAAAAGTTCGAGGATCACACATTACACGTTAAACCAACATTCGAGACTATTCGGAGTGGTTTCCCTCCGTTAAACAATGGTGCAAACAACTGAAGCTCGTGTTTGTGCACGGATTGCAATTAACCTTTTTTGTCCCCCAATTTTTAGCCCAATTTTATTATTAATTTATTTTTTTGTGGCGAGCACTTAAAAGGCCCCCAGACAAAAGAGATGGGGACCTCCCGTGCCCCACAATTTGAAAAGTGCCTGCCGAAATGTCTCGACCGCTGGCGCCACTGCCAAGAAAAATGGACGAATCTTATTTAATGCGGGGCCTTATCCAAAACCAGCAAAAAATTTTCCCCTTAGAAAAAAGCAAAAAAGGGGCCAAAAAAAAAAGCCTCCTCCGCATTCTCCACACGCGCGTAGGAATCTCAATCCCTCTCGTACGTTTGATGTTATCCGCTTTTTCCACCGTCGGATTCCTTGCGGGCCAAATCCGTCGACCGTCCTCAGCCGTCCGATACGTACGCCTGATGTCCGACGGTCCGACCGATTCGATATAAATTCTGTCAAATTTAACTATAAGTAATTATATAGATTCAGTCTATGTATATCCATTGCGGAGTTCACGTGATCAATGGTAATCGGTAATTATAATTATAGCGATTTACACATATTGACCTTATATAATTATTACTTTTTTTATTATAAATTTAAGGATAGATGGTTTCATATGTGACATGCGATCTTATGATTTGTGCTTGATTTGGCAGGTCCCATATTCTCGTGGACCCCACGCGCGACGTATATTTTAATGACATGGAAAAGAAAAATGAGAATATAATGGAAGAGCCTTAATTCTTCCCCCAATCACCTCCTCCTTCTGATGATCTTCACCATCCCATCCGTGGCCCATCGGTTCCAATCATCCCTAGCGATTTTGAGGTCAATCCAAGGCAAAACTCCAAAATGGAGCAGTTTTCATGGTCCCCCGATCATGGAAAAGAGCTACCCTTCCTTCGAAAGCATTTGACTTCTGTCACCTGAGTACTCTTCTCCTCCTCCTCCTCCTCCTCCTCCTCCTGTTGTCAGTTCTTTGTTTCCCCCTTTTTTTTTCAGCTCGGTAAATGATGGCCAAGGGCATGAATTTGATCACTACTGTAATTGGGTTCGGGATGAGTGCAACGTTCATCGTGTTCGTGTGCACGAGACTGATTTGCGGGAGGATGCGGAGGGATGGAGCGAGGCCCATGTTCGAGCTCGATTCAAGAATCGATGTCGAGCAGGTAATGATGCGAACCCAGTTCGGTACTTCATCATTCGTTGGTGGGTCTGTGTGTGGAATTCCGAATTGGTTAAACCATGATAGCTTGCGCTTCTAGGAGTATGATGAAACTTTTCTCTGGAAGAAGAAAAAGTGCAGCTACTACAGGACTTTGATTGAAATGGCCAGAAAGTGTGAGACTTGGTGACCTCACTGCTTCAACCAATTGTGTGGTGGATGAACTTGATGATGGATGTGAATATGTGATTGCATATGTGCTCTGTAATTTGTTGCTGAGAGTTTATTTTCATTGAATGAAGATTGGGGGATTTGTAATTTGGGTTATGCTTGGCAGCCGGAGCGTCGAGTGAGGGCACTCGAGCCTGTTCTGGTAGATGCGATCCCGACGATGAATTTCGACCAGAAGGCTTTTAGCTCGGCCGAAGATGCACAGTAAGTTTAGGCACATCTATCGACTCCTTAAGTCAGAAATCGAATATACACTGAAATTGATGTCATCAAATGGTTCGTTTGATCAGATTGATATCATTATCATATTGCTTTGCTATAAATGCTTGATCTTTTTGGGTCCTGCAGATGCTCAATCTGTCTCGGGGAGTACCGAGAGAAAGAAGTGTTGCGGATCATGCCCATATGCGGCCACACTTTTCATCTCTCCTGCATCGATGCATGGCTGAGGAAGCAATCCACGTGCCCCGTTTGCCGCTTGCACTTGCAAGACTCGGTCTTGTGGAAGTCTGCAGGAACCATCGAATTGGAAACGACGAGTTCTCTCGAGGAATCCGAGATATCGACGGACAATTCGCGTCGCTGGTTGATTCAGGGCGCTGGTCACTCGGAGCAGAGCAGAAGCGATAACCAAGAGAATCCCGAGCCTGCTGCCGACCATTCCCCGGGACCAACCAGACTCTTTCTAGGGAACACGGGGACGAGTAGATGATCAGATGGCGAAACCATCTTCCTCAGGCTCTTACAGGGACTTGCATTCGATCCACAACGGCACGAGCTAGCCGATCAATGGGTCGCAGCGGCTGTCATTGGCAAGTTCTGTCTATAGTGTCCGCATGTGCGATTACATTCTGTATTCACAGGAGAAGAGCATAAAGGAAATTGCTTGGTAACAGAGGATAGGACGTGTCGAATAGGAATTTTGTGTGGGAAACACGAGCAGAGTCGTCCTGGTTGATGCAGTGTGATAGTGACTCAATACCTAACATAATCCTTCTTCCCATCTCAATTTGGAGACCATGTATTTAGTGACTTGTTTTAGTCTATTTTTCATTTGCCTTTTCATGTACTCAACAGTATGGTTTTCCAGTATATGATGATGAAGTTTTTTTCTTTCATATTCAATGTGAAAGAAATTAAGCATATTTTTCATTATTATACATATCATTCACGGGTGAATTACACACACAAAAAAACCCCAACTTTAGGTCAAATCTCACATCTACCCTGAACATTTTTTGTCTCAGAAAAAATCCCAAACTTTAACTCCAGTCTCAAATTTGCCTCGAATTTTGTTTTGTGTAAAAAAATCAGCAAGGTTTATTTATTTTAAAAAATATACCCCCGTTATCCTGTCACAACTTGACGTAGCATTTCGACGTCGATAACAAATCACCGTTACCATTACTTTGTTAATGTGAATTTATTATCGACGTAGAAGTGCCACGTCAAGTTGAGACTGGATCATGGGGTATATTTTTGAAAATAAATTGAATTTTGATTTTTTTTTACACAATAAAATTTATGGTAGATTTGGGGCTGGACTTAAAGTTTAGGGTTTTTCCGAGACAAAAAAAAGTTCGTGGCATATTTGGGACTAAACCTAAAGTTTGGGGTTTTTCTTTAGATAAAAAAAAGTTCATGGCAGATTTGGAACTTAATCTAAAGTTTGGAATTTTTTAGGGAATTAGGCCTATTATTCACTATACCATTTACATAAGGTTTCAGTTTCTAGAATCGGGAACCGGACCACCTGGCCTTGGAACTGAACCGGACCGACCGGTCCGGCGCGTTTCCCCGATGGTCCAATGGAATGGAATCGGTCTCCAATGAAGAGGGACAGGGTGCGAATGACGAAGCTCAAGAAGGAGAAAGACAGAGAGATAAGAGTGATTGGCAGCAAATGGAGAGGGATAAGAGTGCGAGCGAGAGGGGATGGGAAAGAGCCGAAAGGGAAAGGCGTGAGAGGCCAGTTGGAAAGAGAGGGATGGGAGGGGAAATAGCCGAGAGGGAGGACTAGAGAGAGGGAAAGGCGTGACTCGTGAGAGAGGGGAAAGGGAAACTGGAAAAAGAAAAGAGAGGGTAAAGACTAAAAGGAATTAGGGTTTCTTTCTTTAAAGATTTTAAGAACTAAAATAATAATAATAATAACCGGTTCGATCCGGGTAGACAGTTTCACCATGGAAACTGGGAACAGGACTGAAATTGCCGGTTCTAATTTTATGGAACCGGAAACCAGACCGATGCCCTCGAAAACCGCCCAGAACTTACCAGTTCGGTCAAATCCAGGCAACTCTTGGTCCGGTTTGTGTTTCTCACCCCTAATTTATTCTCGTCCACTCCCTAGAAACAAGCGAGAAAAAGGACAGGGTCCTAAGAAAATGACTCCTGTCTCGATTTTCATCCGAAACAGAATATTGTAAAATTCATTTGTAAAAAAGAAGAAACACATACTAATAAGAAAAGGCAAAACAAAAAGAGGCTGATAAAAAAAAAGGGAAAATACCACCAAAAACTTCAAACTATTTCATTTGTGATAAATTTATCCTGAACTTTTTTTTGTGGCACGTAAAACCCTAAACTATGCCACTTGTGACAAATTTACTCTGAACTTTTTTTTGTGACACGAAAAACCCCAAACTATGCCACTTGTGATATATTTACCTCACAATACTTTGGCCCATGGGCATTTTCGTCTTTTTTTCCTCTTTCTGTTTTTTTCCTTTTTTTTCTTTTCTTCTCTCTCTTCCCTCCGCTAGCCATGGCGGAGGGAAGCCGGCAAGGGCGACCCTCGCCGACATTGGGCAAGGGCGACCCTTGCCGGCGTCGAGCGAGGGCAGCCCTCGCCTGAGTTGGGCGAAGTCGCCCTCGCCAGATCCGGCGTCGGGCAGGCCCTCACCCGATGCCGGCGAGGGTCGCCGGGCGAGGGTCGCCCTTGCCGGCTTCCCTCCGCCATGGCTAGCGGAGGGAAGAGAGAGAAGAAAAGAAAAAAAAAACGAAAAAAACAAAAAGAGGAAAAAAAGACGAAAATATCCATGGACCAAAGTATTGTGGGGTAAATGTGTCACAAGCGGCATAATTTAGGGTTTTTCGTGTCACAAAAAAAAGTTAAGAGTAAATTTGTCACAAGTGACATAGTTTGGGGTTTTTTGTGTCACAAAAAAAAGTTTAGGATAAATTTATCATAAGTGACATAATTTAGAGTTTTTTGTGGTATTTTTCCAAAAAAAAAAAAAAAACAGAAATCACCTCCACACGCGTGGGCATGGAGGCTGCTGGCGACACAGGACGAAGTCGGGAGCGAGCCATCGCTAAACACTACACAGAGAGAGAGAGAGAGAGAGATGGTGGGACACGTGGGGATTATCTCTTCGTGCTCTAGCTTCCCGGCTCTCGCTCGTCTTCCTCGTCTCGCCTCCCCCGAACGCAAGCCATTCGTCAGTAAGTGTCTGCTCGCTCGCTGTGTATGTACTCGCCATTCCACACTCGCAGGCCGCTTCGATCGAGCTCTGTTTCTCTCCCTTTCCCCTTTTTCTAATGATCGTTTCTCTTGAATTATCTCCTCTGATGTTGGGATGTAAGACAGTGTCTATCACTAGCTTATGCTTAGACATACCTGGGATTCGAGCCTCGATTGCTGACGAAATGGGTTCGTGTGCAATGGGTTCTTGCGGAGAATTGTTCGAATTGGGGATGGGGGTACTTTGTACATGATAGTTCATTCGAGAATATCGATAGCGGTTCACTCTTGATGAAAGTATGATGAGAACGTGCATAGGATCGAAAGATAACTGCGCCGTCTCTTTAGTTAACCGAGAGTTCTCGAATCTTGGTATTCGGAGACTTAGGATCGTCAATAGACAGTTCCCAGGATGCTGCTACGTTTCTTGCCGCATGGCATGGTTTTCTCGAGCTGTCTAGCTCTTGAAGTACAGTGATTTACGTGGTAAATCCATTTGTTGATGCGATGCGAGTCGTGGGTGAAAGACGTTATGCAAAGTCATGTTGTAAGCCTATCAATGATAATAAGAATGCTGCTGCTTTTCACTTTTGTACTAGCTTAAACAATAAGGAAGACCAACCTATCACTGATTTGGGATGTACAGAACTACGTGGAAGCCGCTACGCTGTATTTTCTTCCGAGATGTCTGGTGTTGGATGAACTTCTGTTTCGGCTTGAATTTGTTTGATTCACAATCTTTCTTAATGTAGCAGTGGCAGCGATGGGTGATGATCCGATTCGGGAATGGATTCTATCGGAAGGAAAGGCTACTCAAATAACAAGGATAAGTCCTGTTGGTGGAGGTTGCATCAATTCGGCTAGTCGGTACGATACAGATGCTGGTTCGTTCTTCGTTAAGACAAATAGGTAAGCATCAGACAATCCAGCTAGTTGCCTTACAGATATTGGCCACAATTGCATATGTTATGTAGGTGCTTCTATCTGTGTACTAGACTGCAGAAGAATTTATTTTATTGAAAACTGGAGCAGGAGAATCGGGCCATCAATGTTCGACGCAGAAGCTCTTGGTTTAGGTGCCATGTATGAGACGGGGACAATCCGTGTGCCTAGGCCGTTCAAGGTCAGGAAACATCTAATCCCTTTTCATAACAGAAAGGAAGCTTCTGACTAATATATGCCATGAAAGACTGTGGAAGTTTTCTGTCTGTCCAGGTGGGGCCTCTTCCAACCGGTGGTTCATTCATAATCATGGAGTTTGTCGAGTTCGGAGCATCAAGAGGCAATCAGGTGAACCCTGTGACCTTTTACGGAGTTGATGTCTCCCACAGTTAGGGCAACAATAATCTTTTGACTATACATTGGTACTCAGCCTGTCCTTGGGAAGAAGCTTGCTGAAATGCATAAAGCTGGGAAATCTGCAAAAGGCTTCGGCTTCGATGTTGATAATACCATTGGCAGGTAGGCTTTCTTTCTGCGTCCCTACTGCTCTCTTACGCATGGTGGGTGCACAGAGGTACTTTGCATTGCACTTGTATTGGGTTGTACTCTGATGGATCCGTGTATCTTGCCTTGCCTTGTAGTACTCCACAGATAAACACTTGGTCATCTGACTGGGTTCAGTTTTATGGAGAACATAGACTTGGTTACCAATTGAAGTTGGCATTGGAGCAGTATGGAGATAGATCAATATATGACAAAGGTGAAATTTCAAAGCAACCTTTTTCCCATGTTTATTCACGTTCTCTTATTGTGCCCTGCTGTTACATGTCATACCGAAAAGAAGCCCTTTGAATTTCCAAAAGCAATTGTTTTGAACCTCCTTTCAGCTCTCTCTCGGTTTAAATTGGTTATTTCGCTGGATTCAATGTTTACTCCTGCAATTGTAAGTGAGGGTTAAAGCAGTTCCCATGATTCATGTTGAAAATGACGCCAGAGCTGAAGCGTAATAATGTGAAACCCAAAACCTTTGGAGAACTAAAAGAAATACACTTTTTGTTCAAACTTTGAAATTGATTTCTTTTTTGACATTGCCGAAATGCACATATTTTGGATTTTTCCCCCTACTAGTTAACGGTTCGAGCACACTAGCGAACGCATGTCATGCTGTTGATTAGTTTTTCTTTACTTGTAATGGGAACCACGACATTATACCTTATAATGTAGACTTATGTCCATAAATTCTCCTATGTAATGGCATAATTTTGACGCCAGCAACTCAACAGGACAGAGGCTAGTGAAAAGCATGGGACCCCTATTTGAGGGTGTGGTTATAGAGCCATGCCTACTGCATGGAGACTTGTGGAGCGGAAACATAAGTTCTGACGAGAACGGCGAGCCTGTCATACTTGATCCAGCATGTTATTGTAAGTCAGGGATTGTTGGCATGTCTTATTTTGTTGGACTGTTAAAACCGATGCTCTCTTTCTCACGTTTAGTCTCCAGCTGATGGTTTAGGGTGGCTTGGTTTCTAAACTTGTTCTTGGCTTCTGATTTAGTTCAGGTTGTTATAAAAAACAAAAACGAAATGAAGTTTGGGGATGGTAACAGATCTTAGAATTACAGGGATTAAGAAGGAAAAACTTTGAAATATCATGAAATCTTCTGGGATCAAATGTTTGCAGAAAACCGAATGCCTTAGCTCTGTCTGACAAATATAGACCTTATCTGTTGGTAACATAATCATGATCATGAGTTTGATTGATGCCCTTGCGATCTTGGAACTCTACGCGCTTGAAGAGTATTGGCTGCAAAAGTATTTTCTTCCATTTAGTCGGAGAGCTGAGTTTGCCGGTTTCTTTTTGTAGATGGACACAATGAGGCAGAATTCGGAATGTCCTGGTGTGCTGGATTTGCAGGAGCCTTCTACGACGCCTACTTCAAGGTATGCCTAATTTTCGCAGCGTCATCTTGTGCATTTTTCTTTCACTGCTAATCACGTGGTGATCCTTCCCAGGTGATGCCTAAACAGCCGGGGTACGAGAAGAGGAGAGATATTTACCTCTTGTATCACTATCTGAATCACTATAATCTCTTCGGTTCGGGTTATCGTTCCTCCGCCATGTCTATAATCGATGACTACTTACGGATGTTAAATGCTTAAGGAACTTGGCAATTTCAGAGCATTTGATTCGACCAGGTCCATATTAGTATGTATGTATGTATGTATGTTCTTCTTCCTAAATTTGATAGACCTGTTGATTGTTCTTGGGTTGCCTCATCCATGTTCGTCCTATACTAGCGAAAGGCGTACGTGCATTTGTGTGCAAAAGAGACGGAAAGCAAATATTCGATAGCGCAAAATCAAGAATAGAGGGGCAAGACAACGCCAAAAGTAGATCAATTGTTTGGTTATTGGTGATTATTTAATAATTGCATGATTTCAAAATCCATGATTTGGTCGATTTTTTTTGTCGTTGCATGATTATGTTTTAATACTAGTCTAACGGGAATTACAGTTCTTGGCAAAATTGGACTCGATGGCAATTAGAATTTGAGAATTTGAAAGTATGTAATGAGATTATGACTTAATCAATCAAAAGTGTAGTAATTTTTTCCTTATGCATGACAAATGGTTATCGAATCTCCGAAACCTAGATTTTGAATAACGACACGGCATGCCTCTCACCAACCTCGTCTTAAGGTGCGTTTGGAATAAGAGGAAAGCATTTGGAAAAATGCAAAGAACTTTAGTTGAGTGTATTTTGAAAACACATCAGGAAGTAATTTTGATTAACTTTAGCGCCATTCGAAAAAAATTACATTTGCCGGCAGAACTTAGTCTCCATTGTCTAGATTTAGCTGTCAGCCATTGCCTGAGGTCTTAAGGCAGGGCTTGCCAGCGCCAGACTAGCTTGCCGGCAACCAAAACTGTTTGCGCCATGCCGAGGAGTCACGTGAGGTTGGGACATTTCCAGAATTATAAAAGTTAAGAGAAGGCAAAGTTGGAAGAAAAAAATTTGTATTTGCATTTCATAAATGTTCAAAACTCAAAATAGCTCAAAATTTCCTAGCCCCAGATGCCTTTAGAGGCCTTTGAAAATGCAATTGTATCTTTTCACGACTCTTCGGAAAAAAAAAAAAAAAAAAAGCTCCTTAGGAAATGTAATTTGTATCTCTTCAAAACTCTCCAAAAAAATTTACCAATCGATTACTTTCCCTTGGTTAAAGGGCATTGGCGAAGTGTTGCCAAACGCAAACCTTGAACTCTCCGAATCAAATGATGATTTCCAGGAGAGACCTGAACAAGACACGTGAAATGGAAACTTCGAGCGGCGCCAAAAAAGCCAGTTTTACCAGAACCGGTTTTATAGAGGTCCGGAGGTGCCACAGATTTCGAGGCTCGTAGCTTTGACTTCAGTCGACGATTCCCACCAACCCAGAAGCTCTGGCATTGGCCATTCGGCATCTGCTCCAACTTCGCCAAACGTGTCGTTGGTGTCAATCGGGGCTGCGAATTCTCTCTGTCATCATCTAATGCTCTTCACCGTGCAAGCCTTTCTCCATGGGGGCTCGTAATTTCCATTGCTGCCATTTTGCAGTTCATCTTTGGGGATTCTTCTCTCTCTCTCTCACTCTCTCTGTCCTTTTCACCGTGTTTGGGATGTTGTGGATTCATCGGAGTTGTCTAATGTGTTCGAATCTCGAAATTCAATTTGCTAGTTTTGTTCCCTCGATCAAATCCTTTCTTGGGAAATCTCATTGACTTTGTGGTCGTGGCGATTTATGCAGCCGGGTGAAATCAGGAAAAATTACCAAAAAAGTCCTCAACCGATTCACCTCGTGTCAACTCGGTCCTTTTTTTTTTTTTTTGGATGTTTTCAGTAATTTTTCCAAAAAAGTTAAGACATCCGGCCTTGATTTGTTTACCGATTCGCGATGGTTTGCACGAGTTCAAGACCGACCCCATGTGTTCATCAGTTTTCCCACAAGACAAAACAAGAAATCCTATAAATATATTCTTGAAGATTTTTCGTTTCACTGCAAGAATTCATAAATATGGAACTATAATAATGAAATCAATTACGTTTATTCTAAATATAATCATTTTTTACACCTTTTTTTTCCTTTTACAGTGAGAAGATCATTATGAAATCCGCGTATCTTCTCGTTCCTACGTAATCTCTCTCTCTCTCTCTCTCTCGTATCACCCTCCTCTGTTTTTCGCAACGCCGGCAAGAGTTAGTGCCTGTCCCACCAAACAAGGTCGTTGTCATCTCGAAACAATCATCGGGGGTGGAAATTTGTCCATCTATTTGAACGGCCCCTGTTCATGTGATCGGTCCACTGGAGGACCGGGTGCTCGAAAGTTTCGTGCTTGGGATCGCACGGTTTTGGAGTTTTTCAGGAATTGTATGCTGAGGACATGAAGAGCGAAGAGCAAGCCCGGTCCTTGTTCGGAATCTCGCTGTCGGACAGACCGAAGTGGCAACAATTCATCATCTGCTCATCTGGATTCTTCTTCGGTTACCTCGTCAACGGCATATGCGAGGTACTTCTTGAAGCTCTGCTTTTTGTTTTGTTTGATTATATGTATCTCTCTGTTTCATCGCTGTGAAAACTGGCAACGCAATTTTTGCTTTCGTTTTTGCTCAGTTTCGTTCTTTTGGCACGGATTGTTGTAGGTGCATGCAAGTTGCTCAGATGATACTACTCTGTCTAGTCTTCTTTTCTTGCTTTAGTTCTGCTTCGTTAGTGGGCGCCCGTAATTTTTAGGCGTATTATGTTTCAGGATGAATATTAATCATTGTCTAATTCTCAGGAATACGTGTACAACAGGCTTCAATTCAGGTTAGTTTTCTCAGCACCTTCGTTTCTGGTGATTCTTTGTTCTGGGATTGAACTCGTTGTCTATTTCTTCCGATTAATTGAAGAACTTTGGAAAATGGTCTTGTTTTTTTCCCGCAGCTATGGTTGGTACTTCACATTTGTTCAGGGATTTGTGTATCTGTTCCTCATTTACCTACAAGGCTTCAGCACCACGCAAATGGTGAATCCTTGGAAGACGTATGTGAAACTCTCTGCAGTGCTGATGGGTTCACATGGGCTCACAAAGGGGTCATTGGCTTTTCTCAATTACCCCGCACAGCTCATGTTCAAATCAACAAAGGTAGCCGTCTCTTGCAAAATTATGCGTTCGACGAGTCAGATAGATCAGAAGTGTGCTTTTTTTCGTCATGTTTTTACCACCTTCTAACGAGACTGGTGTATACACGGGACGCGAAGTTCCCAATGATTGTTGAGGGATTCAAGTTTAGCTGCAATATGTAGGCTCGATTTATTCAAAAGGTTTCGATACTCTATTAGTCGAGTTCGTCATAGGATGATTGTGTGAATTGGATTCCACCCAACTGACCTAATGGGATAGTCCCAGAGTCTATTGCAGACCAAGTCAACTCTTGAAATGCTTGTCTTGGGTTTTCAGCCAATTCAAACTTTTCCTAGTCTTTCTCCGAGAAATTATAAGGTTCTGTCGTGGATTGTCCATTGTGCATCGTTATGTTAGTTGTGCTTCGAAGATATGGAACTCTCGCTTAATATATCTATTTGGACATCGCATTATCGAGTGGTATGGCTCTTCGGTCCTTTGGTGTTTTAGCCCTGTCTGACTGAGACTGAAATTTCAGGTTCTGCCGGTAATGATAATGGGCGCCTTCATACCGGGACTGAGGCGGAAGTACCCAGCCCATGAATACGTGTCTGCAGTTCTCTTAGTGGTGGGTCTGATCCTTTTCACCTTGGCCGATGCTCAGACATCGCCGAATTTCAGCGTGATTGGCGTGGTGATGGTCTCGGGTGCTCTAGTTATGGACTCCTTCCTGGGTAATTTGCAAGAAGCCATCTTTACCATGAACCCTGAAACCACTCAGGTGAGGTGAATCACATCTCATATCGCTCCTTTTGGGTGGGTTTTCGTATGTAAATCTTTGGTGTCAAACCATGTGTTTTCATCGATTTCATCTTCTTGTGCAGATGGAGATGTTGTTCTGTTCAACTGTGATGGGCTTGCCTTTCTTGATCCCACCCATGCTCTTGACAGGAGAATTGTTTAAAGCATGGAATTCATGCTCCAAGGTAACGCGTTGGTTATGATTACATCGGAACTCGTAATAATAAACTCCATCTGCAAGGCTGAGAGAGCAGCTTTCAGCCTCGCACGAGAGGCACAAATCTCGCTTAACCAGTGGTAGAATAAATATTTTATTAACTTTTTCAAGCAAGACGCCTTACAACGGGTATTTTCACGCAAAACTTGCAGCATTTGTATGTATATGGTGTATTGGTGTTCGAAGCAATGGCCACGTTCATCGGCCAAGTCTCGGTCCTCTCTCTCATTGCCATATTTGGAGCTGCAACCACAGCCATGGTACAAACTTGAACCATTTCCCTTTTTTACTTCCGTTGACTTATCATCGCTAACTTTTGTTAGTATAGGAGAATAGTTTCTTAGAAATCACATGGGATGTTAATGAAGTTCCTTTTGCTATACCACATGGGGTGTTCATGAGCTTGATCTACCCTATTGCAACATTGCACACTTGATCTTTCCAACGTATGGGCCACCCACTCCGGGTTTTGACTCGCGTCTTACTGGTCCATGACATAAAAAGCAAAAATCCTTTTCCTTTGGGGGTTCATGCTGATTGGTTTTTCTGTATCAACTCCAGATAACTACAGCAAGAAAGGCGGTCACATTGTTGCTGTCATACCTGATATTCACAAAGCCACTGACCGAGCAGCACAGTACGGGCCTCTTGCTCATAGCCATGGGAATCATACTGAAGGTCTTGCCCGACTCCAATCCTCACAAGAAGGCCTCGAAACCAACCCTATCCAAGGTAGGGAAAATAACTCATCATCGTGATGAAAAAACACAATTACAGAGCCAAGAAGAAGAAGAAAAGAGGCCATTGATATGAAAAGATTTGCTACCAATCGGCATCACAAGCCTGAACACCAGCACCATTGTGGACACCTGGTTCAGGGGATTGAAATTACTTTCTTTTCTTTTTCTCTTCTTTCTTGACCATCTTGTGTAGGCATTCGTAAAGCTGCCGATTTGTATTGAGCATCGTTCTATTTTCTTTCAACTTGTGGTGGCATCATGTCCTATTTACCAGCTTCGAGAGGTTGATTCACTTTATAAAGGGCATCATTAATCCAGGGAGAGTTTCGCTCGTCCATTATTCTCTTTTTTGTATTTGCAAGATCGCAAAGGTGCAATTGTTGTCAGTACCCAAGAAAACATATAATATTTTCTCACACACCCTCAAATTTTCCGCGAGAAAACTCAGCAACTTTTAGTGATTGGTGTCCTCTGGCAATCTGCAAACGAACATGATCGTATTGATTCACGAAATTAATGGAAGACCCATGTTGGGTCGGCCTCACGTTGCATCCACTCGTGCAAAAGCGACACGTGTCGCGCGACCTGCGTGCACGGCGACACCGAGACTCGTTCTTCTCGTTTTTTCACCGGCTTCGGCCTTCCTTTCACCTTTTTCGGCGCTCGTTCCGGCGGTGAAAAACCACATAAGAAGACGAACATCGGACGGTCAAAAAAGGGAAAGAAGCGAAAAAATAACTCTTGGCTCGTTTTGAAGCTCCAGCTTCGAGTCGACAGAGCGAAAAGATGGCGGAGAACAGCATGACGAGCAACGCGCGGTTGCTGGGAGAAGAAGACGATGGCATTGAGGAAACAGACGTGGAAGGATGCGGCGGTGGTGGGATGAGGACGGAGAGGCCAAAGGAGCCATGGAAGGGGGAGATCGTGAAGAGCATCGTGTACGCCGGTCTCGACGCCATCGTCACTTGCTTCTCTCTCATCTCCTCCATCTCCGCCGGCCGCCTTTCCTCCGGTAATTGATGAATTCTTGGCATGAAAGCTTTGCTATATATCTTAAGTAATTCTTAGGGGGGTGTGGGACGTCGTTTACAGGGAAAATGCTGGATCTTTGAGTGTTATACTACTAGTCCTCATTCATAAGTAAAGAAACGCTGCACTTCAAGAATCTTACATTATCAAGAAAAGGGTGGCTTGGACTGATGCACGCATTGCCTCCGAAGCATGTCATTTTGGTCTTTTTTCAAGACTTAACCGATGTAGTTCATAAGTCCATTGGTGAGAAACAGTGCAAGAAAAGCAAAAAGGCCATTGCTTTCTATAACCAGAACTTAGATTGCTAGAGTGCGCAACTTCTTTCAAGAGTTACCCACCCATCGGTGGCCGCGTTGGTTTGCGCTCAATTCCTTTCACGAGAGGTCTTGGGTTCAAACTCCCCCATCGGTGATTTAAGTGGGGGGTCGTGACGGTGGGATGCTGCGCTAGCCCCCCTCGAGGACTAGTCGGGCATCACCGCTGGTTTGGCCCTAGCTCGCCGGCCGCGCGGACACCTCAGTTATCAAAAAAAAAAAAAAAAAAAACTTATGTCAAGAGTTCAGGCCACGCAGTTTGAATCGGATCCTCGCAGATTAGTTCCACGTGGATCAAGCCTCGAAGAAAGTATTCGAGCGTAGCCACCCAAAGCAATAACTTTTTAAAGGTGATTCTTAGTTGTATATCACTTAACGGGACCCGTCCCCTCAAACCTGGAAAGCTGAGATATTACAAAATTGTATGTAACACGTTCTAAATTTCGATAGCTTTGATAATGGGGTACTATGCTTTGCCAGTATAGAGGAATCATCAGCTAAGTATGGCTACATCGCGATCAATGTGGTGAAACATTTAACTATCGACCTTTTCGATAATAAATGAGCGATTAATCAAATAAAGCAAGTCCGAATCTCCAGCTAATCAATTAAAAAACTTCAAAAAATGGAAGAAAGTTGGAGCTTATTTTGGATTTTTACCTTATGGAATGAGGATGGTATCACACTTAATGCTCGATCTTATGGAGTACAAAGGAAAGGAAGAAACAAACAGGGAATGCTAGTTTGAACATCCCGAGGATTAGCGTGTGTTATTTTAATTTGTCTCTCTAGTATAATCCGAGGGCAAGGTGAAAGTGGTTTTGTTCTTGTCATTGAGGACAACTGAGAAACAAGCAAGGCTGTGTACAAGAGAGTTCTTACCCATCTTAGGATTGCTGCTAACCTGGGAATTCTCTCGTTTTGCATTGGTCCGAGGCATTTGGTACGAAGTTTGCATCTGAAGTCGACTGATGGTATCCTTGTCAATTATGGGTTTTGGACATAAAAGTATCGATATTTTGATATAATGAGCATGTGTAGTCGCGCCACTTGGTGTACTTCCCCTTTCGAGGAAGAATTGCATCAAAAGCCGGGATCGAATCGGCCCGTGTAATATAGATTCTTGCACACAGTTAGGAAAACTAGATAGTTGGTATGTTGTGAGGGCGATTCTGTGGAATCCACCAGGGTGAACTGGATCAATTCTCTTCTTTTCAGGGGATGTGCTGGTGTTGGGTTTTGCCAACCTGGTTGCAGATGGGATATCGATGGGATGTGGCGATTACGTATCAGCCAGCACCGAGCAGGACGTCACGGCCAAGGAGAGAGCTGTGACCGAGTGGGATGTCACAAACAGAAGCCAGCCTGAGAAGGTGGAGCTCCTCCGCAAGTATCAAAGGCTCGGCATGTCTGCTGAGGATGCCGCGACGGTATAACCTTTTTCCGCCTTTGGTGTCTAAATTCACAGCATATATAGTAGTTGTAAGGCGGGTTTCATGCAGTATGCTAGTTCCATGTTGTCAGTTCTTCACGGACGAGACTTGCATTTGACCAGGTCGTGAATATATTCTCGAAATACAAGGACATACTGGTGGACGAGAAGATGATGGCTCAAAAGGGGATGCTTCCGCCTGATAAAGAAGAGAAGCCATGGAAGAATGGGCTCGTGACCTTCGTCTCCTTCATTGTGTTCGGAAGTGCGCCTCTCCTCTCGTTCATCATCCTCATACCATTCACCAACAGCAACACCATCAAGTTCATAGGGGCTTGCATGCTTTCTGGTCTCGCACTCGTTCTCCTGGGAATAGCCAAGGCCAAGATTGCCGGTCAAAACTACGCCCTGTCTGCCTTTGCTACCGTCTTAATCGGTGCTACAGCTGCCGCAGCTGCTTATGCCCTCGGTTGGACGCTACGAAACATTGCCGGCTTAGACGAATGACGAAGATGTATTTGAGTAGAGGGCAGAAGCAAGGGTAGGACTTTTTGGCAGGTCGTATTAGAGTGATGAGGATAACAGGGTAAGGATGTTATTGCTTTTTGATGTTTGAAAATGGGAAGACTATAATCTCAATATGACCCAACTTCCTCTTTAAAGGTTAGAGGGACAATTTGTCAAACATCACGGTCTACGATATGCAAAACTACATAATGTAGAGCAGAGAATTTAAAGAATGCATGCCCGATTGTATCTATCAGGAAACTGAACATAAGTTGCACCTGTTTATTTAGTTTTGAACCCAAATGAATAAGCAGAGTCTTGGTTCTGTAACGTTCAGTTACCTTCAGTCAGGGCTAGATGCAACGCATGTTCTGCTTCCCTCAAGAATAACCGGGTTAGTTCTTTTTGCCCTCGCCGGTACACGATCGCGGACCATTTATTTCTAGTGGCCACATTCTGTGGCGTCAAGCCATTCGAGTCCCTGCCGCAACAGCATGAAAGAATGATAAGAAAGTACATCTAGCATCAATGGAAACTAAAGAACAATGAGATGCTTTTCAAGTCCGAAAGAGAAAGAGCACGACACATTTCCCTCCGCTAAGATAAACTGTCTACGCTTTTACCTACTCATGGACAGTTTTAAATCACTAACTCCGATGCTGCCCATTTAACAAATGAATATATCTGACATTCTGAAACAAATTAGCCGGTTTTGTTTATCATGCACTGCATACAATATGCCCAAACTAGCAAGAAAAAAAAACCAAAATTTCTGTAAGTTATAGCAGAAATTAAGGGAAAAGAATCATCTATAAGCTCAAAAAGTATCACCTTTGAACCTTCTCGAGCACCGTGTGCTGCTCGGGATTTTCTGAGATGTGGAATTTTTCAAGCAGTCCAGCATCAAAACTCTCAGTTCCAGTACCTTCTTCTAAGTCCATCATTCTAGCAAAACAGAGATACTGTTAGTGACTAGAAAATTATCTCGCCAGGTAAAAATCCAAACCAAAAATTTCAACCGATCAAGAACATAAAGCTGTGCAGCTGTCCTGAAAGAGGTCAAGATCAAGAGGAAAGAAAAGGGAAAAAAGGGCGGAAAAATGAGAAGTCTCAGATTATAAACACAGCGAGAAAGAGCAAAGTTTCTATTGAGGAAGCATTTAAAAGAACATGCTGTCTGCCTATCTCTGAAGGTTTACATGCAGTAGGTAGCTTAAAGCATGTATCGTAGGCTTCCAGTTCTCTTGTTCTCTTATCCTTGCTTCCATCAAAATTTTCTTAGACCAGTAGCTCAAAAATTGCAATGCCGAAAACGGATAAAGCCCACAGATTGATTTTGATTCTTTAGAGGCCTATTAGCTCTAGCAAGGTGAAGGACACCAAGGACCAAGTAAAGATAAAAGAACAGCCAGATAAAATCGAGTTATTTTACTGCTAACGCCTAACAAATAAGAAGCAGACATATTGCTAGAACCTGCCAGATGATCTTATCTAACTAGGAGCATCATGTCTTCATTCGTCGCAACTTTGCTGCAGTAATTACCTTTTCACGTAATCAGAACCAAGGAGCACTTTGAATGATATGACCTAGCATGTAATATGTGTTGATTGTCATTTTTGTACCATTGTTTCTAATAATCTTTTTCATAGCTTTCCTCTTTCCCATAATCGTGCTGGTATTAGCTTCAATTGTTCTTGCCTATAAATTTCATAAACAATAACCTACTTAATGACAATATGATACTGTCAACTTCATACTTCTTATAAACACTTTTATGACAGGTTTACCACTTACTTTGTTTGAAGAAGATCAACAAGCAATTGCAATGCTCCAGAATCACCACAAACCTCCCACACAGCTGCCCGGACTTCTGTATCCGACGGTTGCCCCTTCTTGTCAGATCCAACAAGCTTCAACAAGGCAGTAAACCCAATTAGTGGTCAAGAAATGAGACAATCAAGATAAATTGTTTTGAAAATAAGTTAACTGTTTGAGAAGAACATAATCAGTCTTCAGTTGCAAACAAATTTAGATTTCATAATTTGATTTTAGCAGCACCTCTACTAGTAGGACTGCCATCCTGAAGTTTACATCGTAGGTTGAAGAATAACTATGTAGCAAATGGGACACTCATTTCACTGAGTCTAATCCTCCACTGTCATCTTTTATGCTTCCCACAGGAAGAACAGGCCCTTGCTTCATTTAGATGCTGCATCACCTGTTATCTTTTAATTCTAAGAGAATGTTGATTGCTGACGAAGACCTCCACGAATGTTGTCTGCTAATAAACTAAGAAGTTCCAAGAGGTAAAGTCTTTCCAAGACAGTAATGTCACTAATTTCTCCTGCAATTATATAACGCAGGCATATGGCTCACTCTCTGATCTACTTTCTGGATGAAGGTTCCCATATAATTACATAGAAAAGTTCCTCTGCTACTTTCATATCCTAGAACACATTTTCTCATACAAAGATTTGTCTCCTCTCAGCTTGAGTTATGAGGAAGCTCAATGTATTTATACGTTATAACAGCGTAGGCTGAGGAGCAAAAGGAGGAATCTGCCCGAGGAGGGGCTCGCATTCAGCACATGGAAGCTATAAACAAACTCAACCCACCTAGATTAATTGCCCATTTTTCTGCTCAGCCCAGCACAGGTTAGGCAAGTCAACTCATATGCTCAAGTTTTCATCATGTAGCCTCATGATCTTAATCGATGATTACAGAAAAGCATCTATTCAATTATCAACTATGACCAGCATATTGCCCCTAATATACTCGCTTCAGACTTGTGTGGAAGTCTTGAAATGACGCCGAAGTTTTTGGCGGAAACAAAAAAGAAACGATGCAGAAGTTGTGGAGAAGCATAAGAGGTGAAATTAACCGTATCTACAGTATTGAGGAAAGAAACTGCAGTTAGACAGTATCGAAGACATTAAGAAACTGCACCTCTTCCAGAAACTCTGAAACTTGAGAAAGGTTATTTTCTTGCATCACAATGGTCCTCAAGGCAGTCAAAAAGTTTTCAGGAAAAACCAACTTGTTTATGTATGAAGGCATCCTTCGCTGGCCACTCCAACTATAACTGCATACTCCTCTATCTGCTTCACATTTGCTGCTTCCTCCCTTTTCAGAAGAGCTCGTTGGGAAGAAGCCATGATCCAATAAATTTCTAGGTAGAAGGCACCTGAGTTCAGCTTTCTGCCGCACATAAATTACGTCTGTAAACAAAAGATAAAGAGGAGTGTGTTCCACAAACTAGTAAGACAAATTATCTAAATAAGAAATAACACATCTATATCTGACCTGTGCATCAAGAAGCTGCATTTTAGCATCACAACAGGAAATGCTTTGAATTGCCTCTGCGGGATAATGCACCTGCAAGAATTCACTTCCACATCAAGCACAATTGCATGAGAACCTATCCTAAACTTATAAAAAACAGCATACCATGAGGTAATCATCTGGATTGTTATCAATCACAAATCCATAGAGGTATAAAAGTTCCTGCGTTTAATATGAAAAAATTAGATATTAAAACCAACATACCCGATTACTTGCTAACAAGATATAAAATCAAATACACAATCTAGGAGCAAAATAGCAGACAATTATAGCATCATGACATGGAAATCCAGGAATGTCACCAAAATAACCCCAAAGCAGAATCTTTGGGATGTAGTAAAATGATGTAGCTCACTCTGGAAAACAGATTCTAATGACCGAATCAAACAGTTATAGACTGTGGCATGGCACAGTAACTGGAAAGAATGTTTCTTCCGCTGAAGTTACAAATTGAATATATTCATGCAAAAAATCAAGGGAAAATGACACAAATGTTACCTGAACTTTGGCCCAATGTGCAATATAATCCCTAAACTTTTAATTTATTCAATGTGACTCATGAACTGTAGCCCAATGTGCAATGTGGTCCCTAGACTTTTGATACATGTTCAACTTAGCCCCTAAACTATAAGAAAATGTTCAATATTGTCCCCGAAGTTGAATTAATGGAAATGCAATATTGAATATTTTTCATATAGCTCTAGAACTAAGTTGAACATGTACAAAAAATCCAGGAACCACATTGAACAAATTAAAAGTTCAAGAGGGACCATTTGTGTCATTATCAGAAAAATCAACATGCATTCACACTTTCACAAGCGCTAGCAATCCACAAATAGCTAAAGGAAAAAGGAGCTTAGTCCACTAGCTGTTACCACCTCAAACACAACCTAAAGATAATAAAGGTTTTAGAGGCTCAAACTCCCAATTACCTCATTGCCTTTGTTGCCATAACTGATGCGGACCTCTTTTTCATTTTCAAATGGCTCCTGCAGAGCTTTCCAAAAGGGGAACGGATGATGTCAGAAGTAACGTAAAATTTTTATCATCGCTATAGGCTAATTTGTCAAAAGGCCGATTTTGGTGAAAAATGAAAATTCGTTCCTGTTTATGAAATGAAATAGGGACATCAAACTGGGTTAAAGAGAGGACACTTGACTCAATCAGCAAAGGGAAAAGATGATGGAAAATAGGGTGAGAGTACAATAGAACGGCTACAGCTTGCAACTGCCCCCACACCGAAGGCAAAGAAGAGAGAGAGAAAAAGAAACACAGTAACATACATGACAAACACTAAATTGATCCAGGAAGAGTTATACTACCTGAAAGAAGATACATAGAGAAGGGAACTCCGGTTGTTGATCCTGAGTTATCCACTTCCCATGTTGCTCCAGGCTTAAAATCTGGCAAATCGTTCCACAAGCAACAGGATATATTAAACTTTTGCCAAAAATAACTTAATTCAAATCATCAAGATAGTGTCTCGGAAGAAGTAAAAATTAACGAAGCATAATGTAGACCAGATGCTTGGAGTGCATAGTTGCAAAACCAACAAAAGGCACCAGGACATCATGTTGCTATATTTCTTCATGCAGTGACAAAGTACTTTCCAGCAGTCTAAAAATCATTCAGTGCGTGTGATAGCATGATCCAACTTTTGTAACGTCCTCCAGGCTTTCTTTAGGAACTTTAGCTTGCACATACATGGACTGTCATTATGCCTGGGCTGTTTCCATGGCAAACTATTTAATTTGTTCCTCGACGAAAGAGAGTAAGTTTTAAAAATTTAAAAGAACGAGCTATCTACCTCTCCATCTTAACACAATATAAAATGAAACTTCAGAAGAAACCCTCAAAGGCCGTGCTCGTGGACTCGGTATAAAGACCCATGAACATCGTGAAGCACATGCAAAATCAGGAACACTTTGAATGCAGTGACCACCGACAGTGCAAAAGGGAAAACAAGAGAACCCTTTAACAGAAGCTCAAAATCTAGTAATAGCCTCTGCAGGTTACATCTTTCTCCTGCTTAGATTGTGGCTACCATTCATTAAACCTATTAATAAGACGTAACTTACTCTCACTTAATAAAACAGAAAGAAAACAAGTAAAGCCATCGAAACTGAGGACAGGTAGAGAACCATACGATATGAGAAGATGAACAAGTAGCATACCGTGGTTGCAAAAGTCAATGCCAGGTACAAGGCCCTCAACCCAGACCTTTTCTTCATGTATTGAAGTGGATGCTTCAGTATGTTGTCCTGAGACAAGCCAGCCATATAGATTAAATAAAAGAAAAAAGGGACCACAGCAGATTAGCATTTGAAAAACCTAACACAGACAAATAAAACATTTCTTTTCAGTATAAAAAGAGCTCACTCCTTTGCTCCTCCATATCAGCCGATACTCCGCATGGCACGTCATGACCTGAAGCACCGTTAGTGTTTTCTTGACAGTGATCTGCATCCTGATCATCTTCCTCTTTTGGAAATACGTAAGAATGTGGAAAAGGAATATTCAAAGCACGAGTCCAGAAAACAGAATTGGCCCTAAGAATAACCAGATAAAAGGACAGTGAGGTGAAACATCATGCACATGAAAGCCCAAGTATTGGACCTTGCAATGTAAAAAAAGAAGCGGTTAGTAGAGAGATACTTACCACAGAAAATCTTCAAAACAAACATCACTGGAGGGAAAAAAAAAAAGAAATGTCAATAACTCGATAATAAATTCATTTCTCTAAGACATTAAGCAGATCAAACTAACACAACCTCAACCCAACTCCTTTTGGAGGTGTATCACATGGCCGATTCTGCTGTTTACATAGGTATTACCTTCAACATATTTTGTTCTGCAGATAACATATTTCAACTTTCCACTGACACTAGCATATAGATGTATGTCATAGTCTTCAGTCAACTTATTTATTTTAACAGATAAGGTTGGAAAGCTTTACTAACTGCAATACACAAAATCAACAAATAGGAAGGCCTTCCATCTCAAAAGTAGAAAAACTAAGGGAGTCCAGCAGCTGATAGCGATCCATATAATATAAGGGAAGCCCCCACTGTTGGTTGTAAATATATGAATTGAGGCAGATTCATGAAGCAGTTTTAAGAATTAACAAATTCAAATATCTACTAAAACAACAACAGAAGCTTATTCCAACCACCTTACATAGCAAAAATAAAGAGTGTGATTTGATGTTCTAGATTTTCTGCGTAATATGCTCTTAACTTTGTTTGCATTATCCATTGACACATGTAGTCCATTCTAGTTCAACTTCTAACTACATGTTGAAAAATCATGCTGCCACAATTATGGAAAGCTCATCAGTCCCTGGCCACCAGCAATTTTTTTAAGGGAACCACTAATATCAGAGGGAGCAGCAAAAGCTACAGGATCATCAAATACTCAATGAAGACCAAGATCACCAGCTTGACTAACGGTTGCATTAGCAGATAACAAGAATTACATGTAACAGTTACAGTTAGCAAGTGACCTCAACTGATGGCCTGGATTTCCGAACAGAGCTTCCTGTATAAGAATTCAAGAATACAATACCTCTAATTTTTAGTCTAGACAACAGGAAATCAGTTAAAAATAGGTGCTAGATAACTCAAGCAAAAAATGAGGCAGAGGGCAAATTATGGCTGCAACATAGTACAAGTGTAAAACAAGCGATGATCTTTCACATTAAAATAGCTATACACAACAAGCATCTCCACCCTTGTTAGAGAACACTATATCAGTGAAGACTACCAGGTCACAGCACGAATGACATGGGTGCAAATTTACACTTAGTTCGAGACATGATGGAATTACCATGTTGACCACACACCTTTCTGAATCCTCAGCAAGAGCAAGGAGTTTCTTCACCAAACCCTTCGCTTTATCCTCATATAAAGACAGCAATTGTTTTCTCTGGAACATGAATCTTCTTTAATATCATGACTCATGCATTTAAATGAAAGAAATCAACCTAGTAAAAGTATAATTTAGAAGTTCTGGAATATAAAATCCCATACAAAAGCTGCAGCCGAATCAGGTGCAGTGATGAGAACAGAATCCAAACTCTTTACAGCCATCTCAATGTCAGTTTTTAGTGCAAGAAATGACTCTCGAATTTACCTGCAGCTGGGTCGCACGATGTAAAGCTGTCCCCTTCAACTCCAAAAATTCATCATCAGTGAACCAAAGAGGACTGTTGTACTTGGTTGGAAGCATATTCAGGTACCTAACACAAACTTTCAGCCAAATAAATAACAAGCTCCCATCCAAAAGAAAGGGAAAGAACAATAAAATACAATGGCCAGTAAACATATATAAAACATACGGCTTCCATGGAGAATTCTTGCGAAGTCGCTCTACCGTCAAATATAAGATCATCAAAAATCTGTCATCAACTTCTCCTTCTTCAAACATTGCTCTACATTCAGGTCCAAGAAGAGGATCTTGCAACACTCTCATAGGAGTAATGGCTAAATCTAGCGGAACAACCATTAAAACTCCTGAAATTTATCCCACAATATTCTGAAGTGAGATCTTTGATAGTGATCCAATTGTTCAACTGTTATAATCAAGTTATGACATAAACACTCATTTTCCTGCAAATTATTCCGCAATGCTTAACTAGGCAAGGCTCTATCATCATCCAATATTAATTATAGAACAGTTTGTCTTGAACCGTGGTCGTTTTGGTAGATTTAAACCCAATCAATTTGCCACAAATCCAAGATCACCAATCATGTGAACCTGGCCTCTCTGCCAGCATGTAAAAAGTAATGTCCCCAAAAGTAGCCATGCCTTCCCTCTTGGCATGCAATGATATTGCTCCCAAGTGCAAACCAATCCAAACAGCATGGATCATATCAACAAGAACAACGACGAGAAACCAAGCCTTATTCCACTAAATGGGGTTAGTTGTATGAATCCTATCATGCCATTATGCTCAATATTTTATTAGATGATTCATATCGTTTTCCTTCAAACTTCATTTGGAGAAGTTCTGTGCTCTTGGAGCCAAACTTCATTGGGATGATTACTATGCTCGTGAAGATGAAGACAATCCCATACACAGAGGATCCCATTAGTTTAAAATCCTTCTTCTTCTCTTACAAATGATATAATCACCTAACGGAGGGAGCTTTCGGGGTTTAGACCCTCTGACCCGAAAGCTTGTAATATCCAGTTAGTGTACCAATCCAATGATGCCAACTGACAAGGGCAATCAGCGGTGCTTTTTCTTTCTCTTGGATAATTTCTAATTGGCCAGTATCGCAACATCAGTCAATGAACGCAGCAGAACCATTCCCTTAAAACCAGCACTGGTGCCTGCATTTGACAAGACTAAAGAGTCCTTTTTTAAAATGCAGGAATTAATTGTTTTCGCCATAGCCAACTGATTTACTTTTACTCTTGCCTGGCACTCAGATCATAAACAATAAAGAAATAACATTGCACACATGCAAAATTTGCTTTCCACAGAGTGTCGTCAGCGAAACCGAAGTCAAGCTCAGCCAGACAGAGAGACACGCTATGAGCAAACACGCACAGCTGCACGCATGAATGTACATGCTCGCATAAACTAACCGGAATGTGCAAATTACCGTCGCGATCGTCGCCGGACGCGAAAACGCCATAGCCTTTAGTGGAATCGCAGTACTCGATCCCGCAACCTCGCAGCTGAACTCCGTTCGCCTGAACACACGGGCCACGTTTATCGACACCGGACACTCGCAAAGAACCACACCACGCGATTCATTCCACTTAAAAACTTTCTGACAAACACAGCACGTGCAGCGGGCGCGCACGAAACCGCAACCTCGCGATAAAACTCGTCTCGGCTGAAGAATCAGCCGGACATTTTCCTCCCGAACGAAACACGGATTGGAAAACGAGTCGGCTAGAAATCGGCCGATGAAGGAGATGGTTCAGGGGAAAGGATGAGAACCTGAAGCCACGCGAGGAAGACGTCGAGCTTAGCTTCTTCTGGACTCGCCATTGCCGCGAGTTCAAACCTCGCGAAGACGAAGGAAGAGGGAGAGAGTAGCAGGAGGTGCTCAACTCGGCTCGGCGACCCGACATCAGGCCCGGTTTTGTGAGGCCCGAGGCCCGTGCGATGCGCTATCTCACCGTTTACAGCCCGTCGGGCCACTGATATCCATGCAAAGAAATAAGGGAGAAATAATGTAAATAATCCGAAACATTGATTCAATGTGCGTTGTTTAGTATAGTCCATGAAATATTAGTAAATGTTTAATGTAATCAATGTTTAATGTAATCCCTTTATTTGCTCAAATGATAAATCGGACGTAATTTGATAACGTTCATTAGTATATACTGATATACTGAGTTGGGTTTTTAAAATATGAGTCGGCGTATTTATTATTTTATCCATCTATTTTTTTTAAAAATTAGTAATATTCAATGCTCAATGTTAAGCTATTAACAAACAATGCTTTATTTCTATATTTTGTATTTAAAATTGTCAACCCATAAAATTTGATTTTGTCAAACGAGGGCAAACGAATTCATATGCCATTTTTTAAATGAACTTATTGTCGTAACTAAATATTTCTTTCTTCTTTTGGTTCAAATGGTTTGGTAGTATACTATACTGGGTAGCCTTTACACATCTCAACTTATCCACCTTCTCACGATCTCAATGGCACAATCCCAACATTAACCTCTCCGCAATGACCTAGTGCATTTAAGATTTTTATCCTAGAGCGCTCCCAATAAAACAAGCTTCATTTGTTTCGTAAAAAATGAATGATTTGAAAAATATTTTTTTTAAAATCATTATTTTTATCTCTTACAAAAATAAATTAATGAAAAATATTATCGTCGTCCACCAAAACGTTAGAAGAATTAGAAAAATATTTTTCATCAACTAATTATTTCAAATGATACATACAATCATTTTTAGAAAAAAAAATTTTAATTATTTATTTTTGTCTATTCCAGCGCTCCAGTGCAATGCTAAAAGCTGCCAAGAACTTCAATTTGAACATTTTTGTAAATGATTTGATGAGATCACATCAGAAATGATATTACAACCCCTGCACCAATCGACATTTTTTAATACGATGCTGCCATTTGTTTTCATAAACAACTTAGTGAAAAAAAAACGAAGGTATTTTGAGCATCTTCCCGACATGTCCTTTGCTTCAAACATAAGAATATATTTATTAAAAGTCCTAAAACTTGTTGCAATTGAGTCCTATAAATTCTAAAACTTATTAAATTTGTTCAATCAAGTCTTAAAGTTAACACCATTTAATTTATTAACAGAAAACGGTAACGTGACTTATTTTAATATTTTCAATAACCTACGTGGCAATGACATAACTAAATTATGAAACATAAAACTAAAAAAATATCACATCATCACCACCGTAAGATAAAAAAAATAATAAAAAAATCCACGTCAACATTTTCCATTAGAAAGTTAAATGAGATTAAATTTAGAACTCGATTAAATCAATTTGACAAGTTTTATGACTTGATTGTATTTTTTATAAGTTTTAAAACTCAAATGCACTTTCATAACGAGTTTTACGATTTCGAACATATCCCTTAAACATGCTTAAGTTCAACCAAGACAGGTACCGCGACAACCAAAACCTGAAAGAACTCATCTTAAATTACTCGAGAAATTTGAGGTCCTCAAAAGCTCATATGAATGCGAAGTATCAACTATGCCCCCAACAAAAGCATTTGTCAGATGGTCAATTAAACAATACTTTCGAATCGAAGATAGGATTTCGAATGGGTCTTTCAGCTTGATAGTAGCTATGCAAGCATGGGAAAGACCCCGATTCCAATTATGAGAGTCTGAAATCCGGCGGTGCGCATCTGAATATGCCCTAATTGGCCCATCCATTCTGACGAATAGCGGAAATTTCCTCTGGATCATTTAGAGAGTGTGGTCGCGTATCACAGATATTTCGTCATACCACGGCCTTCCACGCTAAGCTTTGTAGCCTGAAGCTGCTTCTTTTTCGGTGCTTTTAACTGCTGCAACTTCTTGTTCATCTGCCACGCACCAAAATATGAGTGAACATGCTATTGTGCCAGAAAAGGTGACCCAGGTAGTGTTGACCAAAGCAGGTGCTAAGCAATAGAACTTCTATAACCCACATCCCAAGTGTAAATTCATAAATCAGAAATTCAGACCAAACAACAGGTTCCAGGTGATTATACGCGGCAGAAAATAAGTGCAACGACCATTGTTAAGAAAAAGACTATTAAGTATGGCATGCAGTTGCCAAACTGGAAAGATAAATGCACACACGTCGTCCCTCCAACGAACCCCCTGCATTTTCCTCCTGATGCTTTCCTAATGCATATTCATACAGTGTAAGATATCCACAGTTGCTCATTTTCTCCCAGCACCAGATTCAATTAGACTATACATAACAAAAATCCTACATTTCCATCACAAGTATATTAGACAACTAACCTTTAGTCGGCGCTGATCTTGCATGGCTTGCTTAGCACGGGCTCTAATTTCATCAGGATCAATCTTAGATTGAGGGCGCAACACAAAATCCAAAGGTGTAGCTTCAGGTCTAGACGCATGCAGCCTAGAGGATGACTGACCAGATTTGCGCTCTCTGCAATGAGGTCAAGCATTAAAACCGCCAATACAGCCAGCACAAGAATCTCTAATCAGGCTAATCAGAGATTGAAATTCACCGTGAGAACACATCAGCATCAAGATCACCGTCTCTAGACTCCATCCCGGTATCTTTACTGGCAGGCCTATCCAACAATCCACCATCAAGATACGAAAGTTATCCAAGGAAACTAAAAAATTCACAAAAGAAAATATAGAAAACCTAAAGCTCCTTATTGACAGAAAATGGACATGATAGAAAAGTGAAGATACAAAAGTAACTAGAAGAAGAGAGTACTTCTTCACCGATGGCCTTCGATAGGGAATCCTATCATCTTCCAAGTTTCTCATGTCCTCAAATCTCGTGCTCTTGTTGAATATTGGTCGACTCTGCAACCCCGTCAAATATACAAGCAGAGTATTAAAAATCATTGGAAACCACTAATGCATATGATGCATTATATTCTTCATGCGCACAATCGTCATCCTATGCATCGCTTCAAAAAATCTAAGAAACTTAGCTGCAATCCCTCTCAATATACCAATCGTCAACCAGATGAGCATAAGATGTCTTCAAAATGAACTACAAGATACTAAGATCAATAGCAAGCAAGCAAAGCTGAGAATCATTGAGTAACCCGGAAAAATCACCAGAAGTGCAAAGACAGTAATGCGACAGTTAAAGCAACTTTAGAAGAATATAAATAAGAGAAAATTTCAAGAAAAACTGAATCAACCAAAATAACAACCGCTGTAAAAACAGAGCTATACTGGATTCCAAATCGCAAAGATTCTTAAGTTCATGGCTAGAAATTACACAAGGCAGCAATGAAACAGAAGAAAAACCAAAGCCAGAAGCAAATGTCTTTTAGATGCACAAAAAGACCAATGTACCAAGGAGATCGAAAAGGCAAATTGTCTAACTCTCAGCTCCAATATATTAGAGACAAATCTTTCTAGGGTAAGCAATGCCACAAGCTCAATGATTTATCAACCGACAGCACCACTGAAGCACAACAAGGCTTTTCAACGATGTATTACTTCACTTTTAATTATGACACATAACAATGTCAAGAATTTCAAACTTGCATATTATAAGGTGTTAGAAGTGAGTGGATCGGTGGTTTACCCATTTATCAACCAAATCTTTAGCGAGCTTTCTGTTGGATGTTGTTTCTTCATCAGATTTTGACAAAAACATTATAACCTGCACAAGGGAGTGACTCAGTCCATACAGTACAGGTAAGTACATATAATAGGAATTTTAGGACTAACTGCTGCCTTCACAAGGCAAATACTAACCTTTCCAAGGCCGCTTTTCTTCAATTGCTCCCTCCTATCATACTGTTCTAAATCAATAGGGAACTGCAGACAACAAGCAGTTTTTCAAGTTTTAAAAAAGGTTTCACCTGAAGCAGCAGCTATACAGTTGTTCCAGACAAAAATGAAGAGAAAAAAAAGTGAATATACATCAGTCAATATCTTCAAAATTGCAGCGCGGATGTTTATATTGGGTAAGCTTCCATCAGGAAGAGGTTCAAGCCAGTTCTTTAAAAGTGTTAAGACTCCATGATCTAAGAACTCTTGCTGAAGCTGCTTCCTGCATCAGTGCCACATATCATCATGAATTGATAAAAATGGAGCCTGAATAGATAGAACACAAGCAAGCAGATCAGACTAGGGTGACGATGGCTTACTTAGATAGAACGTCTGTCAGAAGAGGCAACTTCCTAAGCTTATTGATAGCAGGTTTTCCCTGCCGGTTAAGTTCCGCATCTTCCTCAGCTGTGACCTCAAGCTCAGCCATGATATTCTCAACCAGCAGAGCAATTTCTGCAGGACTCTTCTCATTCTTCTTCTTTTTCTTACCCATTTTGAAAAGTTCCTTGATTTCATCATCCACATCACCCTCCTCTGCCTAGCAAATTCAAGGCAATACCAAACGGTGAATATGAAGCTCAACCTTTTCTTTTTGTTTATTAGTAATGATGAAGCTCGACCAATGATAGGTATCAATTTGCAAATGAAACAGGAAAGAAACCATAGGTATGGATCCAGTTGACATTAACGCTGAAATAACCCTGCTCTGAAAGAATTGATTGGTAGAAATCAAATTATGAACTGAATACTGACCTGAGGAGCATCACCAGGAGAACCTGGTTCATTATCAATGTAATACCTTTCCCCAGGATCGACGCCACTATCATCGATAAAATTATCATCGTCCACAGTTCTAACACCATCTTGATCATCCTGTCACAAGAAAGAGACATGTAACAAGGTTCCAAAAAGTAAATATACCAAGAATGCTGGAACAAAATAACCAATTCCAGGCAACAGAGATACTTGAGCATGTTGCCTTGAAGATTGTAGAGCATGAGCAAACAAAGAATTTCTGAGGACATTGACAACCAAGAGCCAGAATACCAAACCA